CGCTTCTCTTGGTCGGCCCCGATCCGTCGTCCGGAAAAACTACCTTGGGTCTAATTATGAGAAGTGCCTCTTGTTCTTGCTAGGTCAGTAGTTTTACGGTCGGCCATTTTCTAACTTCACGATCACGGAAATCCTCGATGCGCTGCAGGTGTTTCGCTGTGCAGAGAAATCCAACTTTCCATTTAACGGGTTTAATGGATTGCGAGTACGATTGATATTCATGAACGACTTGAGGCTCAGCAATTCTTTGAGTCCCCCAACCCTCCTCCCGCTCATGGAGGGGGAAAGATGGTTTAAGCTTGATTATGGTTGCCAGTTGAGCTTGGTGGTAGTAATTGTTGACGAGTTATCCAATTGCTTGTACTTACAAGCACAAGGAAACAACAATTTTACTACTCACCTCTCATACCTCACAAAAGGGCCTTCTTGCTGTAAGCATTGGCCCGTACCGCAAATGGTTTATAATTACCAGTAATTACATCGAATGCGACGACGGCAGCTGGCGCAGAAAGGACATAGACGCATTTTACAGCCGCTGCGGCGTCATCGTGGAATTCAAAAATTAAGACTATCTTACTTTTTCACGTGCTGTTGCTTGGATTTGCAATTGCAAAATGGTGCAACAGCTCACACTGAGAAAGCGGTAATTCTATAACCCACCGCTGTCCCCTGAATTTCGAGCTCTCACCCCTCCGTCCTTCGAAATCAGTCATCCGTGCGCCCGTTGCTCTGCAGAATTCCTGTGCGACTGCAGAGTTGAAAGGGATAAGCATCCAGAACAAGCTGAACGCGCCATGCGGCACCGCAAAGGGAAGGTTTACGACGATCACCCCGCACTAGCTCTGTCTGACCAAGAAAAAAAACAACTTGCGCTTGATATGAGCAGGGACTTAGCAATTCTCGACTCAGAGAGAAAGACACAAGAAAAATCACCGACTAATTCAGCACTGATGCAGAGACGGCGCTTAGCTGTGAAAAATAATGAATACTTGGACGAACTTCCTGAGAATGGCTTTGATGCACTTCGGCGCCGCAAGAAGCCACTGAATAGCGAAAGTACTACTACTACAACTACAGCAACATCTTCAACCGCCAACAAGCACGAGATACTAATTAAGGAGGAGCTGTATGCTGTGAAGACGCCAGAACTTGAAACTGATGAATTCCGACCAGTTGATAACGCTACTCCAATTGATGACTTTGAAGGTCCCCATGGTTCTACTCAAAATCCCAACTGCGTCTGATACAATATATTTTGATGAAATTGACAATATGGATTCCTAAATTATATTGGATATATAGCTATACTAACTAGAAAATTTTTTAATGGAGAGTGAAACGTTTTTTCCAAAATAAGAACACTTTTGTTACACAGAGGTATTACCTGATTTGTTTTCCAATATGTGGCTGTGTGGATTGTGAATAGTCGTTGAGCCAGAATTTTGGACTGTCCACCGTGGAACCTTCGCGATTGCAATTGCCAGCGGGACGTATCAACGAATGAGCAACGCCTGAGTGACGAGAGAGTACACAAGAAGAGAGCAAGGAGGGTGTTGATGCTGAGAATTTTCACTTGATCCAATTTTTATGCTGTGTCACCATGAGAGACTTTTCCTAATCCATGACAATAGATTATAAGCTTACGCATCTTAAGTTTCCTTCCGTCATAATCTCTGAATAATCATTTTCTGCTTCTGAATAAATGCCTTCCGTTTAGATCGACTGCCACCCGACCGCTCATCATCGCTTACTCCCCACACCCCAAGGAGAATCCCCGACGCGTACACACCCCCCGTTTTTTTCTCCCTTGAGGATTCTCCTGTGGGCGCGGGAGGACCCCGAGAACGAACGTTCATCTCCGAGCGACGTGCAGGTGAGGATGATGGGTGACCATTTCAAGGTGACAAAGGATGAGGCGAACGCCGTCCGCTTGCAAGTTCATCGTTTGTCGATGAAAATTGGTCACATGGGGCGTTCTCTGCAGCAGGTGGCGTCCTTGATTGAGGACTTGAAGACAAGCCAGCAAGAGTTGGATGAAGAAGCAGACGATATTATGCATTTTGTGAACAAGAAATTCAAGAGCACCGCAGCGGCTATCGCAGGTATGGAATATATTTAATGTGTGAAATATTAAGTACTTGCAAGCTTGTTTTTGTAATTTCAACTTTTAACGCTCATTTAGTAACTGCAGCTCCGTGTCTATAACTTCCCTGAATACTGGAAATTTTTGTTTATCTGAAATATTCTAGGTCCTGATGCTGGCGATGATGGGAGTCAAGGTGGGGGAGGTGGCATGAAACGCGCATCTGAGGATTCAGCGTCGCATGCTACAAAGCGCTTTATTTCTCAGCAAATGAATGGATTGAGCTCGACGCAGCAGAGCGGTAATCCTTATGTTTATATAGGTATTTGGATTTTTGATATGTGAGGATGAAGTTTTAGTCAAGATTGTAGCATTTAGAATTGCAAACTTGAATTTCCTTATGTGTAACTAAATGTGTTTACCTATTAAACAATTTTCAGTCTGGGGGAGCCAGCCCGATGAGGTCATGGGAGGTGGAGGCTCTTCTCAAGGCTCTGGCGCTGGAATCAATGGTGGATCAGCGAGCTCCGGCTATAGCGGTGGTTCTGCGCGCTGGTTGGGCAAGCGTCCAGCAGCAACAGGGTCCTGTGGTGCTGGGATCACACCGGCGTTTGGTGCTTGCGGTTCTACGAGTGCTGGATTTGGGTCTACCTCCAGTTCAGTCAACAACCAGTGGGGTGGCGGGTTGCCAGGCACTGGAGGAGCAGGCATTGGTGCGGCAGGCTCTGGCAACCAGAACCAGTTGACGTGGGGTGAGGTTTGGCAGGGAAGTGTTGCAACTATCATGGAGTGCCCGTTACCAGAGATGCCGATGCCGCAGGCAGAGACAGAAGGTAGACATATCTTTAGATATGCAGTTTGATTTTGACTAGGAAATTCTGAATACGTCAGTTATGAATTCCTTCATATGAGTTATTTTTATCGTTGATGCGATGCGTTTTCTCTACTCCAGGTATGTTTCAGCGAAACGAAGGGACTTTTTTGGCAGAGCGGCGAATGAAGCAAGATGCAGAGGCTTCGGTAAAGGCGGCTGAGTGGCGTCGCAAATTGCTGCTTCGCTCTGTCCGCAACCACTACATTCGCCAATGCGGTAATTTGGAGGAGCTACAGACGGCTGGTCTGATCAGTACCTGGGAGCTGAACTTCATGAAGGGCATCGATCAGCGCGGCGATTTAAGCGAAAAACAGGACAAGTTCCTCTGGAAGGTGTTCTTCATGGTCCTCGGAGCCGGCATCTCGAAGCCGCCATGGGTCGACCTTCCGACGACACAGGCGGATCCGTACCGCCGATAGAGGAAAATGAGCGAATTTAGTGGGAAGTGTTAGTAAATGAAGAAAATGAATTATCTCATATGTTGGATCTCTCGATGCATTTTAGAAAAATCAATTTGAAAATCTTTCAATCATGAAAATTTTTTCCTACCCACTGTGGGGCTGTATACTCGTGTCAGGAAGAGAGAGGCTTGCTATTTGAACAAGCATTTGTTGTATCTGTTTATGAAAGTCATGATGTTCTGTATGAGAAATATAACTTGAGTTATATTGAGTGAGAGCTTTTTTTTTACCTCTGTTGAGGGCAGATTTCTGATATTCAGACATCGAGGGACTTTAGTAACGAGGAGTGAGTCTGGACAAAGCTTGTGAGCGCATTCATGCATAATTGTGGAATAAATGCAACTGCGTGATGTTTGATTTCCTTCACAGGACGTGGATTTGTCATTCTACCTACCCTCGCTTTTCCTGCAAGTGGAGAATTTCATTCTCTGCCAGGTATTTTATGGTAGTTCAGGTTTTCTACGAAGCACGTTCAGATAAGACAGCACGAACAGATAAGAGAGTAAATCGTGAGGAAAGTTGTTCCTGGATTTTGAGAAAAGTGCACAGGAACTCGAAAAGGGTGGTAAAGAACGTGGTTTGACGCCAGGATCGTGAATAGGATAGGATTTGAAAGTATAAGAAAAATTGTATTCGTTGGTCTATAAAAAATAGTATTCGTTGGTCTATACTTTGTTTAGTGACGTCACATATTTTTTCTGAGTCTGCTTCTTGCAAGAAAAATGCCACGTCATTTCCGCAACATCGAGCTTCGCAAAGAGCTCAAGAAGCGCTTGGGTAAGCTGAAGAGCTGCAACACGAAGTACAATACGCTTGTGCCGCGCATCGCTAATGGCCGTGCCTCTCGTGCGCAGGCTGATCGCTTAGGCGAGCTGATCGACGAAGGGAAGTTCCAGGCTCGTAAGGTGCTGAGTTGCGGTCTGAAAATCATGAAGATTGAGGGGAATCTGATGATGAATCAGCAGAACTTTGGAGCCTTATTGGGTGGCAACAACAACAGTATTGCGGCTGGTGTTAACAACAACAACCAGGGTGGATTTTGGGATGGTGTGTTGGCTCAGGCTGATCCGGCTCTGCAGCAGCTTTTGGGCTACACGGGCCCGGCGAATGGTGCTCCTGCTGTCGCTGCTCCCGGAGGTGGAGCTGTTCCTGGAGGTGGAGCAGTTCCTGGAGGTGGAGCTGTTCCTGCAGGGGCAGCTGCTCTTGGCGGTGGTGTTGCAGCTGCTGGGAATTTATCTGCTGATTCTGCAGAGGAAATTGGTCCGGGTGACTCCACTCCGGATTTGTGAGCTGTTGCTGTGTGATGCAGCGACGTTTACTCTGTTTTTGGCTAGAAGGGTGTAGCAGCGGGATATGTGAGGAGCTGAAGCAATTTGCCGTTAAGGCTGGAGCAAGTCGAATTGCGAGCAGAGAAAGCAACTTGAGTCGTTTCTACTTGTCTAAAGCACATAAAGATAATTGATTATGGATACGTCCATCGTGCGGGGGAAGTACTACACGTGGCTATCTGTTGAGGATATATGGTTCTGTTTAGGAAGTATGTGAGGGATCTCAATGCATTTGAGGAGGCTTTGCATTGGTATGGCGCGGAGACCTATTTCGTCAGAAAAATATACTGTGAAGATTTTTTATGCCGGCTGTTTCACATTGACGGATTTGCAATCTGCGAGAAAATATATGATTTTGCCTTCTTTCAGTGGAGCTTGTGCTGGTGATGTTCTAATTGAAATGATTTGAACTACGATGATATGTATAATGCTGAACGACTTCGCCGATTCACGAAACAAATCGAACATGTCCAGGTGTAGTCGCTTTTTTGGTTCCTACCCCTTTTACAAGTTAAGGCAGTAAAATTGTTTCCTATGATTATTTTTGGATGTTCATAACGAGGATAATTATTGAGTTTGTTTTCTGCAATCCTTACGTCTCTGTGCCTACGACATTTATGCTTTTTTGATGATCAGTGAAGATGACATCGTCCTTCCTAGGCTCCGTCACTTGCTGCAAATGCAAGTCGTATAGGGAAGTTTTGGGTGCGGAGACGAAGGCAGGCCAAGCACTTTTTACTCAATGGAGGAGTTTTGAATGCAGACATGTGGGACTGGTATTCATCATGACAGATTTATATATAATTTATTTCTCTTCGGTATCATATTAATTCAGTTCTCGTATTCCCAGTCTTTGAAATTTTTTCATCTTCGATCTATCTCTTACTCATTCCACAGGCATGTGGATCTTTACAGCCTGCTGGAAAAGCACGCGTGGTAAAGCGTCACGAATCATCAGCAATTATCGCGTGTGGGAATGTGGTGGCGAAGCATTACTTCGGAGCGGTAACGGCTCTTCCCGCAGACGATTTGATGGAACTGGGTGGACCACTTCGTTCAGTTCTGCCACGCAGCGGCAACCCCGAAAAAAAAAACCGAGTGTTCGCTAAGAAGAGCCAGGAGGCTTTGGATCAGTATCTGAATAATCAACTTCCTCGAGCGAAGGATACGCCAGCGGCTGGACCGGCTAGCACGTGGAGCGCGGTGCAGTTAGGGAAAATGCCTGCTAGTAGTACTTTCCTTTCAGCATCCGCGGATCGTCGTCCTGTTCCTCCGACTGGTAAAGAGGCAGGAGCAAGCACATCTTCCAGGTGCAGCTCCTCCATCATCATGAATAAGAATACAGCAGACAAAACATCTTCTTCCTCACAAGCGAAGCTTGCACCTGCAGCGGGTAAAGCAGCTAGTACTAAGAAAGCAGTATCATCTTCAGCAGTCCTTTCAAGTCTTTACGATTCACTTGATTCTGCAAGTGATTCTGCATCGCAATCGCAGATGTTCCTGCCGAGGCGTGGCGCTGCAAGCGGCCCTCTGCGCGTGAGCGATATTCTTGATTCCGCAAGTGAATCTGGATCACAGTCGCAGGCGATTCGAGTTAGGCGAGCTCCTCCTGCGGCAGCAGTTGCTATCGAGTCCCAATCACTGCTGCAGGATGTTATGGTGTCGCCAAGTGCTGGCCAAGGCGATAGAGGAGTGTCGACAACGAGCGCGGCACCGAAGTCACGGAAGCGTGCGAGGGTAGGGCGCGAGGACATGGGAGGGGAATCCGATGCAGATTCGAGTTGGGGAGATGACTCAGACGATGACGATTCTGATGACAGTCACGGGTCTGATGAGGATGATGACCCAGCTCATCGGTGGATTGTGCAGAGGGTCTCCGGGTTGCGAATCCGGACACGCAGGCACCAAGAGAAGGAGCTCCAGGTGCTCCAAGGGTTGGTTGATCGGCGTCGGGAGAGGATATCAGGAGGGCAAGTCTGGGTGGCCTTGCGTGGTGCAGGGGCTCTGGGTCAAGAGATGGCGGGGAGGCCATATCGGGACGGGGTGGCTAGGAAGTACATCTCCAGGCTGCTCGCGTCGTATGAGGTCTTCAACTTGGCGAGCGGGGTGCGACGGTTTATCACGGCTCTGCCACGGCGCAGGCCTAAGCATATTGGCCACGTTCACAACCGGCTTCGGCGCTTCGAAAATGTACTGCGCACGTGGAGCAGCTGGTGGGGATTGAAGCGGAAGATTACCGAAAAAATGCAGCTGCCGCGGGGTGCGGATTTATCGGGACGGGTGGACATGGTCAATGTGGACGAAGTCCCTTGCCTGCGAAAATATGGAGAAGTTGGCGGGTATAGCCTTAATTTTTCGGCAATCCACGACGACAATTTTACCGCTGCGAGGGAGTCGGGTACCTTGCATGGGAGCATTTTGATGTGGGTGCACTCGAATCCTGCTCTGCGTATCGAGCCGGTTGTTGTGTTGTCGCGTGACTGGGTCGTGGGGCCGAGCAAGAAGAAGAGACGGCGGCACAAGAACTGCCTGGACGCTATCAAGCCGTTTGGACTCGGGCAAGCTAGCGGAGAGAACAAGCGCAACGGATACATCGACCGCGAAACCTTCTGGGAGGAGATGAAGAAGCTAGGAGAGAAAAAGGTGGCGTCGGTAGGGAAGGAGAGGCCTGTCGTTGTAATCTTTGACAGTGCCACGCACCACGCGTGCACCCCGCTCGAAGAGGAGCATTACCAAGACGCCTATGGAATGTTCTTCTTGCGCATACTCGGTGGCGTCACGGCGTTAGTCCAGCCGGTCGATGTTTGTAACGTTGCCTCGAGTGTGCGCCTATGTGGGCAGGCTTTGGCGGAGAAAGACAAGCACGAGAGCACTTTCGAGAGCCGGGAGTTTTGGGTGGAGTTACGGGAGAGAGAGGAAGCCGGGTGGCATCAGCTGAAGTGGTTCGAGAAGTGTGGGATTAGTCTAAGTACTGACATCGTGGAGGAGGTGGGCACGGAATTGTTTAGATTCCTAGCAAGAACGCGAGAGCTGCACCCCCAACGGGTGGCACAGTTGGACCGTTTATATTTCCGTCATGCACTTGTCGGAAATGCTCCCACTTCGTAACTGAGTGGGGCAGTAGTATGAGGAAACAACGAGGAGGAGAGTTCTTTTCTGTGTAGTCAGTGTGCAGCAAGTGACCTCTCCAACAATATCAACAGCAGGAGAAGGGAAATTTTAGAAGAAAGCAAAACTTAGAGAAGCTGGAAGATCACTAGTGGTAGGCTAGTTTTAGTAAACTGTCCTGAGGCTTTTTAGTTCAGCACTGCGCTAGCGTTTAGAAAATGAGCGGCCTGCTTTTGGAGCAATTCTGGCCTGGTGGGATCTGGCTCGTTTTCGTTTTGCGGTTCGTCTACGTGGACGACGTCCTCGCACTGGTTTGCTTCTTGGAGTACGATCCCAGATCTGTGCGGGTGGTCCGCATGGTCGTGCAACGTGTTGCCTGTTCTCTCTGATTCTGGTTAGCGATTGGCGCGCCCTCAGCTTAAAGCACAGCCTGGGGAATTCTCCTACGGGTTTCTTGGTTCAGCACGGCACACGGGGTTCGGGTTCGGCTTCCCAGCGGGTAGAGGTAGGCGGGGAAAGTGACCGCGGAAGGCGTGCACGAAAATCGCCCAGAGGTGTGAAAAAAGAAGCGAAAAAGCAAGCCCAAAGGCTAAAACTTTCAAGCAGTTCAGGAGCGCCATTTGCGCACTCACATCCATCGGCCCTTTAGCGCCTCAGCCGGTTTGGCGAATATTCGGCGAATATTCCCAAATATTCTCCAAATATTCTCAAACATTCGCAAAGTATTCGAATGCTCTTAAGTATTCACAAAAAGAAGACGAAAAAGAAAAAGACCGCCGCAGCGTCTCTGACAAAAATCGCCGCAAGGTTTTCACGGCTCTCCTTATCGGTTTCGCTCCCTCAGGTTCTTCCAAAAGATTGGCCACAAACGGGATGCCTCATCGGTCTCCACCTGGCGGCGCTTCGATAAAACCTCGCGCCACACTTTGCGGCACGCTGCGGCGTTTTTGTCGCAAATAGGAAAAAAGCCCAAGCATATCACAACGAAAAAGCCGCGAAAGCTTTCGCGAAAAATCTGCCAAGCTGTTGACCGTTTTGCGAGTCCCTTAGCCGTTTCGAATTCGCGAAATGTCCTCCCTTGATGGTTTTGACTTTCGTGCGGGTATCGGTTTCGAGGGGGCATGCCTAGTAGTCTCTGCGCCGTGGCCCGCCGTCTCTCTGGCGGCCTACGGCCGCCAGGGACGAGGGGGCAGCGGGTTGCCTTGCTGGGCTGTTCGCGCTGGATTATGCCGCGCACACCGCGCGCCCATCAGCGCAGCGCGGCGCGTCGTCCCTCTGGCGGCCTAGCGCGTCGCCCACGGCCGCCAGCGACGAGGGGGCAACGCGTGACCATCTCGCCCCCCGCCCCCCTTGTACCAGGTTAAGGCTAAATGTTTGCGCGACTGTGAATCCCTATAACGAGCCTGCGCCGAAGAGTGCGCCTCCGGACTGTGCCCAACCGTGTAACCTTGTCCAAGGGGGGCGGGGGGCGCGGGGTACAACGGGAGGGGGGGGGATGCGGCAGACAAACTGTCGCCCGTGTAACTGAAGAGCTAAGGCATGCCCTATCGCCCCGCTGGCGGCCGATGCGCCAGACGGGGCGTCTTGCCGGGCTTTTGCGGTCTTACCGAAAGACGTCCGCGATTGAAGTCATCCCCTCGGCTCTCTTCGTGTGCATGTGCTACCTATACCGGGCGCACTTCTGAGAGCTACAGGCGCACAGGGCTAGCCTTTGCCTGTAATGATGCCCCGGACTCTTAAAAAGGAGGGCGGGCCCATGTCTCATGTTGTCGCCTGTCGTCTCATTCGGTCTGTATCGGTAGCCGGAGGGATTGCAGAGGAGTCGGGTACGCCGAGCGAGCGGCGAAACCGATAAGAGAATGGCGAAAGCACCTGAACAGATCCCGGAAAGACAGAGGCGAAACCGATAAGGGAATGAGAAGAGGAGAGAGACGGACTGGCCTCGCGGTCTAGGGACTGGCGGGCCAAAATGTGAAGAAAAGCGAGAAAATATCGAAAACGGCCGAGAAGTACCACTGTCCCTTAGCGGTTTCGCTTAAGATTTTCGCGAGGCTTAACATTGCCGCCCGATCTTATTCCTCGCGGAATCTAGTGGGCGCAGGATTATCATTTGGCTGCAAATGGAAAATATTTGCCAATATTCGGCGAACGTTCCCAAATATTCTCCCAATATTCTCAAAGATTCGCAAAGTATTCGAATACTACGAAGCATTCACAAAAAGAAGACGAAAAAGAAAAAGACTGCCGCAACGTCTCCGACAAAAATCGCCGCAAGGTTTTCCCGGCTCTCCTTATCGGTTTCGCTTCCTCCTATTCTTCCAAAAGATTTGCCACAAACGGGAGGCCTCGCCGGTCCTCACGTCGCGGCGTTTCGATGAAACCTTGCGCCACACTTTGCGGCACGCTGCGGCATTTTTTGTCGCAAATAGGAAAAAATCCAAAGCATATTATTGGTTACTCGCCCGTCGCGCCGGTCCTCCACACCCTGATCTAGGCACGTGGCAGCCCGAAACTACGGCGCCTTCGCGTGCGTCCCACTCTGGAGACGCGCCCTAGGGTGATGGCCGGTCGGCTGCAGCAGGCCGCGTACGGAAGTGCAGCTTCCCGTTGACAGGCCCACGACGCGAGCCGCCTCTTGCGGCGGTTCTTTCTGCTTCTTTTGGGACCTCAGTCAACTCTTTTCCAGTTAGCGACCCTTTTCCAGTCAGCGGTAAAATCTCGACTCGGGCCGCGACGGGTGCATGCTCGTGTCTTGTTTCTTCCTAGTGTTGAATCGCGCATGCAGATGCGCACGGGTCGAAGGCCCAGCACATACGCAGTTCAGCGATGGGCCCCTCGACAAAATTCGGGAGTCGTGCGCGATTGCTCTTTCGGCCACGCCGGATGCTTTACTAACACTCCGTGCGCAGGAACACGCGCTGCCGACCGTGACGGAACGGCGATGTAGATCGAGACCAGTTGTAACGCTTTGCGAAGGAAGCGATGCAGAAAGCTTGAAACGCTAGTTTTCTCAAAGCTTTTCCAATTACGCTTCCAACATCGTTTTCGAGATTTCCAATTACAGGGTGCTACGGATAAGAAAGAGTTTTTTGCAAGGAAAGAGAAGACGACTTAGGCTCGGACGAATCAAAAACTTCGACGTTTCAGTTTGTAAAGTTGACGCAGGTTGGTAGCCCTCATCGTCGTGCTTCGAGGGAGAGCGTCGCTTTTCAAATGTCGGGCAGATCATTCTGCATCGCTGCCTGTTAATGATCAACATTTAGGATATGTCGTCGGATCATGTACTTGTCGTTGCACTGACACGAGAGGAATGCATTGACCAGCAGTAGATCTCGCTCGGTAGAAAGAGAAGCCGCGTTCCAGAGGCCTCGTTAACCGCTCTCGGACGTCCACCCGCTCTACGACTCTGTGGCTTTCGGCTGCATACCTTTAGATGAGTCGACGATCCCTGTCGTTTTTAGGCCCCCTGTTTATTAAGCTCGCACCATTTCGTATTTGACTTTGCAGTCCCTATCTTTATCTGTGATAACGCCACTTGGTAGACAACCGACCGTAGACCAAAAAGTTGTGTGTTGTACATTTAAGGGTGTTTGTTAGGAGGTAAAGTTTACCATGCCGAAAATTAGTAGATTTAGCACGGTGTTAGATTATTACCAAGTGAGAAGGATATCTTCCTCTTGCGGAACATGCCATTCGGTCTGCAACCGCTCCTGCCGTAGCTGAGTCCTCAAGCTTTTCGTGGAGCATTTTTGTGTGGCTTTTGCGGAAGTTGGTGGTGGGCGACACAAGAATGACAAGTCCACAGGAAAACGTCGTAGCCGGCGATCAGCCACCGCCACCGAGTAATCTTGAACCGGCTGGAGTGACGCCTCCAGCTCCGAAACCTTTACCACCGCCGTCAATATCTGCTCCCGTTCTCGCAGGCTTTGAAAATGGAGCATGGTTCTTCTGGTACTACGTTACCATAACGTCGTGAATATTTGAGAGTATCTCGGAGCGCCCTGTTTGGTAGTGTCATGGATATCCTTGTATCATCATTTCAATCTCACTGAGAAGTCTATTCTGAGTATCGTGCCTGATGTTTTTTCACTGGGCAACATCAAAAAGAGTTTTAAAGCCGTTGTTTGCTCTCGAAGAAATAGGATGAACAGAGTAAAATCACTAATACATGCGTTGTCAACAGGGTGGGCGTCGTCGCGAATTTCATGCTGACCGTAGTACTGGTCCTAGCAGTGAGTTTGGTGCGTGGAATCGTCGAGAAAAGAGCACGCGACAAGGAGCGCGTGCTGGGAGCACCGCTCTCCGTAAGGCATTACAGACAAAGGAATGCGGTGGTATTCCTGCGATTGTGGGTGAATTTCAATATCGTAGTGCTGCAGCACGCGCTAATCACATTCGGAATTGTCCTCCTCATTATGGATTCATGCGAGTTGTAGCATGGGCGAAAAGACAAATGATAGTGTTACACTAATACATAGTCCTACTCCTAGAGAAAACTGATAAATCTAATGACCATCATCTCTGCACGAATTGCTAGAGAGGCTTATAGGAACTATGGCATAGCCAGTATTAGATGCATTCTTGTCGGCATCCGCAAGAATGAGATTCCTAAGCAGGTCAGACTCCTAGGCGGGCACGTGATTGAGTACCTGTATTCATTAATCAAATAAAGGACTACTAATGTGATATTATATTCTTGAAAGTAATCCGCGCGTCATCATTTCGAGGTGCTTGAGCTAATTTTTACGTCCATACTAAGTTACTGTTACGATATATTGCTAGGTTAGTAGTTGGGATCGTTTTCAAACTCAGACTACCTTATGATATATGCCATAGCACTCAGTGACGTGGCATATATGTTCCAGGGCGCAGGGTAGCGGCCCCCCTAGCGTAGGGGGGGGCGTGGATCCCCGGCCCCTTTTGAAGGCGTCGGCCAGGGGTGGAAGGCTTCCAAAGGGGTCCAAGGCACCTCCCCCGCCCCCTTCCAGCTGCCTGCGTGTAGCCTACAGACCCCCTATGTGCTTCGCCGCCGCCGCAGTGCGCCGGGTGCGCAAGGCCTCCGAAGGCGGCAAAAGGCGCAAGGCTGGACTCCCTGAGCCGTGTGGCCTGTACCCTCCGGGCCCTTGGTCATCGGCCTGCTTGCTCTTGAGACCGTGGCCGCCTTCGGCGGCCTTCTACCCCGGAGACCTCCAGCCTGCAAGGATAAGCAGAGGCCAGAGGGTCCCTTAGGAACACGCAGAGAGGCGCAAGGGGACGCCCGCGCCCAGTTTTGACGCCTTCCACCCCGAGAACCCGCAAAAAGCAGCGCGGAAAAGAGCGCGCAAGCGCCACCCCAGGACCAGCCACGGGGGCGCGTGCGTCCCTGTATCATGTATCATAAGTTCGGAGGCTTTAGCGGTAGGTTTTAATCACACCCGATTCATGGCTGCCGTGGGTTTCGGATCAGCGAAGCCTGAGAAACATCCACTCGCGGCCCAGGTTCGAGATGCCGTGCGCTACGTTCTCGCAGGCACCTCCTTTCACGAGGTAGACCCAGAAATTCAAGTGACGGCGCAGAGAGAGTTGTTTTTGGCCTACTGTTACGGCCTTCTATAAATACCTTGTATAAATATGAGTACTTATGGGGCTGACTTTGACAACAACAAAAATACTAGTTAGAAAAGTAGTCCTTAAGAGCTCCTCCTTAAGGACAGAAATAGTGATGGAGTAGTGGATCCCAAGGACTAGCAATATGACGCGTGAATTATCCAAGAGCGCTGTTTGCATCGGCTGTTACTACTTCATTTCCGCATGATTGCACTTTTGAGAAGCGATACGAAGAATGTATGGGAATGGTTGAAGTAAGGATGATTTTAATCATATAGGGGGTGAAATATATTTATCAGTAGTTGTGCACTAAGGTGAGGCATTCCTCTATGCGTGGCTGCTGCTGTGCCACCGCGCAGACCTGGGCACGATGAGTAAATTCCCCTGCGGCGTGAACGCCAACCCGACGCACGTTTTTGTCACGCGGAATTCCGCCGACGATTCGTACGCAATCAACTCGGATCAGGACTACGACCCTGACGACCTCTACCAGGGCGAGTCAGCGGAAAGCTTTCAGTCCATTGCGTCTTTATGGCATTCACTAGACCATGTGGCGTACTACCTTGACGTATTGAAGACTGCGCCATGCGTCACAATTTATCTTCAAGCACTTTTAGAGGAAGGTAGTATAATTTTGATCGAACTTCTCTGAACAAAAAGCTCCTCTGCTAGTGCTATTATTCCTGCAAGAACTCTTTCTGCTCTAACATAGGCCTTTAGTTCGTCTGCGGCTCAGGAGCGGGATCCAGGCATCTTGCGGCATCTAGCGCGGTACTTCGTGAATCCCGGAGACGAAGGAGAGTTCTGCAGAATTCAGACGGTTTCTGCTTCGGCGGCAGAAACTAGGAATGAAAACAGGGCACCAAGCTATGAACATGATCCATTTAGCGTCTTCATTCTGAAAAATCTATTCGAAATTCTAACCTAGTCGCGCTGTTCACATTCAGGTGGTCTAATTCTGGTCTTCTCTGTAGTGCTCAATCTGATCATGGATCACCTGTTTTCGTTCTTGAAAGCGTCCCAAAAAAACAGGGGCGGTGCGCTCTTGTTCAAAGATTGGGCATGGGTGTCTGCTTGCGCAGATTCTCATTACTCAACAAGTAGATAACCGGTTGATTATGTCCTCCCCTCGAACATTTCCTTTCACGACCTCATATGCTACCGAATATGCTAGCTACGACCTAGTAAAAGAAATCAGATCACCTAGTATTTCCTGGCTGTGGATGGGAGTAGCCGCTGGAGCAGGCCTCTTCGTCAAGTCGGAAAGTGGATGAAAATCCAGTCTAATTCAGCACGAGGTCGAGTTCGGGGTCAATGTACCCGGTCGGCCAACGCGGGAGTGGGAAAGGTATGCAGGGTCTTCAGACATCGCAGTTTGTCTACCATTGTAGCCTCTTCGTGCGGTCGCCAGACGGCATGAGTTGGCGCCAACACACTCAAGCGGTTTCCGCCGACGAGTTATTCGACAAGCTTCTGATGTTAAGACCGGACGAAGTCTTGGTTGTATCGGCGACCTTGTCACTTTGCATCAGTAAAATATACATTATATATGGACGTGGAGCAGAACGTGTTCTAAAAACTTCCCTTTTATTTCTGGTTAGGCCCCACCCTACAAATTGTAATGGCACTACTTCAAAAAACTTGTTGTACGAGCAGAAATGACAAGAAGTTTTATTTAGACGCAGAGAAAAATATGTTATTCGAGTGTCCCGGATGGCCTTCCGTTGTTTCTTCAGAGATTTCAACGAAATGCGGATGTCCTTCTAATCGTAGCACCGGAATCGAGTGGTAAGCCTGCAAGTTACCACAAGTATGGGCTGACCACAGAGGGAGTGCAGCTATCGCGCGAACGGTACGGGAGCAACAACGTGAGCCCGCCACAGAAGTCAACAATGGCTTTGTTCTACGAAAAATGTACGCAGGGATTCTTTTTCTCTTTCTCGTTGCAGTCCGTTTATTTGCAGATGAACAACTTTTTGATTCACGTGACCGCGAGCTACGCGATCTGGTTCTTGTGGAACAAGGTGAGCGAGGCTTTGCACGCATCAAAAAGTACCGCGGAAATGGTGAGGACCTTCGAGCCACCTGCAGACACGCAAGTGAGCGTAGTGCGGAACAGCGAGGTGAAGCTGATCAAACCGTCCCAGATCGTTGTCGGCGACGTCGTTGAGCTGCGGGCGGGGGACACCCTCGCTTTTGATGGACTGCTGCTAGCGGGCAACGTGACCATGAATGAAGCCGGGCGGACAGGAGAGTGCATGCCGGTGAACAAGGTGCCCATCGACTTCGCAGCAGCGGACTCGCAGAAACGCGGCCGGCTAACGACCTCACTGCCGTCACCAAGGGAATCCGTCGCTGCAACTGCACCTGAGGCAGGGAAGCGCCTGATGCGGCAAAGGTCTACGAGCCGTTTCAACGGCGCACTTGTCAAAGATGAAACAGCAGATATGCTGAAGTTCGACAGTTCCAACATGGTCTACGCGGGTACCGTGGTGAACAGAGTGCTTGTTCCCGACAAGAAAATCCACAAAAACCCTCGAGCATCAGTTTCTGGCAAAGACGACGCCGCAGCTACAACTCCCTACACCGCGTTCGCCGTCGTAAAGGCCATTGGCACCGGGACCCACCGAGGCGAGCTTACGCGGGATATGTTCTTCCCCGACGTTACCAGTCACGTGGTGGAGCTCGAAGAGGAGCTGGCCCTGCTGTATATTCTCAATGTTTTCTGCGTTTGTGTTTTTACCGTGTTTTTCTTCTTTTGGAATTGGAACCGGCAGCCCTTTTACGTTATTTGTTGGCTTAGTGTCACAACCCTGAACCAGCTGCTGCACCCCTTTTTGCCGGTTGCGTGGGGACTGAGTTCGAGAAGCGCATGCAAGCGTCTGAAGGAGAAAAACGTTCAGGTTCTCGAGCCCGAGCGCCTCGCGCTGGCTGGAATGTGTGACTACTTCGTCTTCGACAAAACTGGAACCCTCACGGAGGAAAGCATGATCTTCGACGGCCTTACGAACGTCTGCGAAGACAAGGTACTGACACTTGTCCCTTTGTTGCAGCTAGTGACTCCCAAAACGATGCACTCGTGAATGCGCATAAATAAGATTATTCGTACCTCTCGCTGCGTCTTGCATTTTTTTTTGAATCGCCGTAGCTACCCAACTCGAAATGTTGACAAAAGTGTCTCGTCATCATCCATCCCAAGATGCGTTCATCGAAGGTCTTTTATGATGTATTTTCTCCGAGTGTTGGTCTTTAAGATTTTTTGGAGTATTATGAATATATAAGCTGATCCTTCGAAGTGGCTCGGTCATTCTGTGGAATACAAGCTCTTTCCTTCAATGAGAACGAAGCTTCGGATTATGCATGCTGATTTCTCTTTTTCTGATCTCAACAAGGTCTGCCGAGCTTTCTCCTTGGCCGCGGCCGAAAAGGCGCTTGGCAGCACGTCGAAGGGCAAAAGCGATGAGGGGCTCTACGGAAACGCGTTGCAGAAGTTTCAGCTGTGGCTAGGATTGGACGGTCTGCGCAGCCTGGAATGCCTAGCCTGCTGCAATACGCTTTTTCTGCAGGAGGGCGGAAGGCCCGAGGGGCATCCCGTGGAGATGCAGATGCTCGAGGCAAGTGGGTGGCGGCTGGACATGGTAACCTCGACGGAGTCCAGAGTGGTAGTGCAGACTCCAGCGTTGCGCATGGCCATACGGTTGAAACGCAAGTGGAAGTTCGACGCTAAGACCACCATACAAGTTGTGCTGGTGTACGTAGAGGAAGCGACTGCGGCGGAAGTCGACGGGGGCGGAGGGGGCAAGGGCTTGCTCAACTCCCACAGGCAAATGATCGCAGATGAACAAGGAAAATGGTTCGCTTTTGTGAAGGGCAGCATGGAGGCGATTGCCTCCATTTGCAGTCGCAATGGGAAGGGTCGCAGTGCAACCGCCGTTGCTCACAAGGAGGCGGTAGCGCACATGAAGCAGGGGAAGTACGTCATAGCGATGGCCTGCGCGGAGATACCGAAGGCTGAGGCGCTAAAGTTCAATCTGGCAACGCTGCACAGGCAGGAGCTGGAGGCGCGGACGGATTTTGTGCCCATATCTCTGCTGATGTTCGGCAACAAAGTGAAGGACGAAACGCCCAAGCTGCTGGCCGCACTGCAGCGGGGTGGTGTGAAGCCCCTGATGTGCTCCGGGGACGCGCTGTACACCTCCGCGAAAATTGCGCTTGACTGCGGCTTGTTGCCCAACGTGGAAACGCTCCAGCAGCTGTCGAAGGAAGATGGGGTGCCCTTCTCGGTCCCGGGCTCGCGCCTCTCGTTCAACGATATTGCCAGCACAACGAAGCAGCAACTTGACGAACAAGAGTACTACTCGGACAACGAAGAGAAACCGCTGCTAGAACGGGACGACAGCGGCGAGGCGGTGATGTGGGTCCTGGATATGAGCGAGGAAAAGGTTCTGGCGTTCGATGGATGCGTCCCAGAGCTGCGCTCGCTAAGCAGCGACCGCGTCGAGTCGTGGATCGTTTTCCGAAGCGCGATTTTTGCTTTTTCCGAGGAGCGGAGTTGGCCGTTGACACGAGGCCTCGCGATATCGCAGAAGTGTTTCGACTGGCTCGAGGAGAACGACCTACCCGCGCTCATGGCGCTCGCGCCCTTCATCACCGTCTTCGGGCGCTTCGGACCCAACGGCAAGAAACGCGTAGTCGCGATGCTCCAGCGCATGACGGGACAGGTCGTGGGCTACTGCGGCGACGGTGGCAACGACGCGGCCGCGGCCAAACAGGCACACGTGGGCATGGCCTTGATTGACACCAGCCAAAATAGCCTGGCAGCAATCGCAGCCCCAATCATCGTGACCGACCGGAGGATAGATCGCGTTGTCTCCGTATTGTGTGACGGTCGAGCTGTGACCGACTTGAACGTCGGGATGCTGCGTTATTTTCAGACCATGGGCTTGGTAACCCATGCTAATACTTACACTTTTTGTGGATAAATTACCTCTACAGATGAAAATGACTCCATCATGTTTTCCTTGATATGCTTGAACAAGTTTATGTATTTAACAAGACTGATCATGTAGAAGATAATTATTATCCTGGCTTGTATAGCACAGGCTGGCCATTGATTTAACATCAATTTTTCTGACTCTCAGCTGTTCATTTGCGTCGCGAAGCTGTGGGTTGTCGAGCAGGGTGGATTCACGCATGCAAACTTTTTCTTCATGGCAGATGTGTGTTTTGTGCCACTGATCTGCTGGGCGCTTCCGAAGCAAGCAGGGGCGGAAGAACTCCGAGGGCCGAGTCCTAACACTGTGTTGCTTGGGCGGAAGTACATGGGGCCGCTGTGTGCGACCGTCTTGATGTTGCTGGGCATGCACCAACTGTTGCGGGGCTACGGGATTCTGCGCGGCTTCTGGTTGCCTATCAACTTTGATCGCGATGAGATCTCCCGAACCAACATTCCAGTGCAGTTGTTCGGAAGGGGAATGACCCAGGAGGTCGGATTGTGGAATGCCTACTACATGTTTTTTGTCTTCGTAGTTTGCGCTAGCCTTGCGGGTATGGGCCGCCGGTTTCGTGCCGGTTTTCACACGAACTGGCGATTGTATTTTGTGTGGCTGGTTGTGTGTCTCGTCAGCATTTTGCCGCTTTTTCTCACTGTTAAGCAGGCTTGTTTTCTTTCATAGACATAACATACTAACCACCCTCTATTCATCCACCTCCTTCCACCATTTCGACCATCAATGACACAAGAGTACTCTGCGTGTCATAGCAAGTGATCACACTGATGTACGATGCGTATTTTAGTCCTCGTGATAGAAGAAAGGATTGAAGTGAAGTAAAGCTGCGGCATACGGGTGGTGCTCTCTCTCTCTCTCGCTCTCTAATTATGGGAATAAGCACACGGCGTGGGCGAATGTCTTCTCGCGGACCAACCTGCATCCGGAAGAAAACGTGCAGTGGCTTCCCGAACGGCTACCACCATTCGTCCGTCCGATTAGTCTGATGTTCGCTCTCGGTAGTCCAGACGGTCACCACGGCGCGGGTCGGGCATTTCTTAAGACTTGTCCTAATTCACCTAAGCACCTCTTGATTACTTAGATAGCCCCGTTTCTACGAGGTTGGAAGAAAGGGAAAATCAACATTGAATCTAGTAGTTGGTACCCGCTTCGCGCGAGGATGAGCAAAACACGCCAAAGGTGACCTTTCAGGATGAGGACTTTTGGTACGCTCTAAACTCATCTGGAGCGGGAAAATTCATTTAGATGCGGTTACAGGAAAAGAGGAACCCATAGACGCAGAATACGCCGGATGGCTCAATCACTTTGGTACAGCATTTATGTTGATGCTTCTGCCATTCACGTAAGCCGCTATACAGTTTTTCCTTTTTATGTTTCAGTCAAATATGATGGATATTCGAACTCCTTTACGGAGTCTCTACATCAGCTTGCTCAGTCCCTTAAAGAGAGATATAATAAAATTAAAGAGAGACATCCACATAGGCATTACATGCAGAATTGATGTTACTTTAGCGCAACTCGGTAGACTTACCTAGTGGAGGTCTTCAAAAATTTCTTCATCTTACTAGTAAGTTGTCTAATCTTCGAGTAAGCTGCATGAAAGTGAGAGCTTGGCAAGAAGTTTCGGTTTGGATGAGTGTCACTAATATGTTTAAAGAAAGGCTCGAGCAGGATCGTGCAGCCAATGTCGAGAGAACTGCAAGGTAGTTAAATATATTGTCAGTGCTTACCCTTGACGCTTGAGCGACACCGTCGATCATTATATGCCAAACGCCTTCAAGTTTCTCGTTGTCAGTCTCTCGTCTACGACTCTGTGTCTGATCAGTCGGGTATCTTACTTCTAGGTCAATCGGTATAGTCTTTACTACCATCGGTTATCAGTATTTACCAGTAAGAAACAAGCACACTCCTACGCCCAATTCCCACAACATATCATGGATCCTCTGGACGCTGCGTGACAGTAGTCTCTAGTATGCTTGCTTGCGTGCTCTACTGATAAAGCCGAGACTGGAAAGTGTACAAATATAAACATGGAGGAACAGGGCAATGGACAGCCCACTTAAGGCTATTTTCACAGTTTGTCAGTTGGGCCAAATACTTAACATAGGGGAATGACTACTGCAGGGCGGAAAATTATTATCATTATAGATAATTTGAGCAGCGTGCGCGACTCACGACAAAACGACACAGTTAAGGCTACTGCGTCTATTATTCTACTAATTGAGTCCATGATTCTTCAACTCGTCATTCTTTTCAATGGGTGCACAAACAATAGGGTGGACGTGCTTATTAAGTAGTCATATCTGTAAGTTCAACATTCCGCGCAGAAGTATACTAAGCTCTACACGGCGGCAGCAAGCAGATAATTGGGCAGGTCCGAGACAACGCGACGGAAGTATAGAGTTAGAAGAGTTTTCGATCCTGTCGAATGTTGTCGGATGTTGACCTTGGTGAGCTAGCACCCATAAGCAAGGCCAACAACGCCGCTCCGATCTCATTGCGAGCACCTACCTGCCTCTTTCCACATAGTAGGACCTTATGTGGCAGAAGACAGGAACTTCCACTCTGAGCGCTCTATTGTAACTAGACTATTGTCTCCGCCATATCATCTAGAGTACGTCTACTTTCCTACTTCTTCATTTTTCTGTTCGCTCTTACTTCTAATTCTCATATCACCTAATTAATCTTTCCAATCTTCATATACGTCATCGACTGCAGACTAACCAATTCCATCCAAACTCTTACGGACATTAACACATAAACAAAACGAAAAATGTCATCCAGCAGCAAACCGCCCCTATGTCCTGTGATCAGGGTTTTTTTCATCTCTAGTTGAGTATAATTTTTGACTATCTAAGGCTCGCAAGCTTATATTGATGCTTCTGAGCGTCGAAGTATCTAGCAGAAGGACGCAGGAAAGACTCAGGGAAGTCGTAGATCCAGTCCGAACCGACTGGCATCCTCATGCGTACACCTTTACAGTAGAGAAGGTATGGGCCAACTTCATTCTGCCTCTAATGTTGGCATGACCTACTACAGGTAGATCTTCATGTCGAAACTATGCTATGGAGACATCTACTTGCTCAATTACACTGTTGAGAGCAACATTTGTAATTGTCTTTGAAAAGACATATATTTTGAATCTCCACAGTTCCCGCCGGTAAGGCTAACCCGATACCCAAGCCTTGCAGCTGCGATGGCGAGCTACCAGAGAACATTGCGGACGCGATATCAACCGAGAAGCCTTTTCCAGACGCGATAACAGTACTATCCATCATTTTTACTATAAGTTGTTTGATATCCAGCGGTGTCTTCGTGAATGAGTAGCATGAAAGGTTGACTCACGACGACTTCGAATCGTTCCTTTTTTGATCCTTACACCAGCCTGACAAGGACTGGGACGACCTTTTCGGGCCAGCGAAAACAGCGAAGCAAATCTTTGCCGTGGATGGAGATGACGGGAAGCGTCGATATTGCTACCTCAGTCACAGGGATCCGTGTAGCTCTTATGGGTGGTTTTTCATCATCCTATTCCTATCGTAGGTAGGTAGATGATAATATGTGGTCAAATCATGGATGTTGCAGGTCGTGGCGGTCCTGCAAGTTGACAAAAGCTAGGTAAAAAAGCTAGTGAAATGGTAAGATGCCCCCGCTCAACAAGTCGGGATGATGAAAACACTACCACTTCTAAGGCCGCGTTCAGTTACCAGGAGGAAGCGAGCCGTCGCTAGTTGAGAACGGAGCAAACCTGTGGGTTCTGAAGCACAACAATTTCTTAGGCAAGGACACAGAAGGCGGCGACGTCTGGCAGTTTGGCCTTGTCTTCGTGTTTGGAGCATTCATAACTTTTTTCCTCCTTTATCTCTTCATCGGCTACGTAGACTATTAAGTAAGTAAGCAGTGTCTTCTTGTTGTCTGGGAGTCGACCTCATAGTTGGCTGCCATTTTGTCTCTACGGTGTTAGAGGAGGGCCTTATCAGGGGCACACACATAACAAGCATCCCTTGTGTGGTGTCGATCCCGGGGATAGGGTGGAGGACGATTTTTTCTCAGTTTACGTAGAAAGTTTGGTTTTCTTTTTCTGACAATAGTACCAAGTACGTCTAGCACTGAGAAATACAAATATGCGGTAAGCTATCGCATATGCCAGAAGGAACGAAGTCGTCTTCATAATCTTCCGTATTGTACAGACTTTTTGTTATCGCTTTTATCGCAAGGAGTCTCTGACTCTCATTTTTGGAATCGACACATTGACTACCCCAGAGCAACACACACACCATGATCATAGAGCATAGTTTACTCTGTATCTCCCAAACCATGACGGCTTGCTGGCTCTACGTTATGGAAAGTTATATTCTACCTCACATACACACATTCACACAGTCATACATGTGTATAAATACGCAGACACGCTGCCCTATGCAGTCAAGTCACTATCAAATCACACAAACTTACTTACATTTAATAGCGTCCACAATTGTTTCGAGTATAGCCGAACCGCATGAAATAGGAATAAAATGAATGATATTTTTCCAAGAAGATTCACTAATACCAGTTTCTAGCAAATCAATACCACAGTAACAAAAAGTAACAAGCTTCTAAATTTTCTGATACTTAGTGCACAGAGGGGAACAAACCTTCTGTCTTCTGCCTTACCGTTGAAAAGAGTCGCAGTTTATTGAAAACACAAATAAAGTGAAAAAGTATGCACCGTGTAGTAGAGGTAACTGTATATATGCATGATTGTGCATAAAGCAAATTGAGTTGTATGATCACACATCGTTCTTCTCTCGGGAAATTAAAATGGAGACCGCACCATCAAAAAACATAATTTATAACGCAATGGTAAACGTATCCCCAGTCAAGTGCAGTTGCACACGTAGTTGAACACCACCCCACCCCATTTCTATAGTGCCCACTTAGTGCCTGGATGTATAACCACCTATCCTAATCCCAGAGTATAGTAGCTTTCTCACTCAATATATCCGTCCTGTGCGGCAGGCGCCATGTATACCGAGGAACTCTAGGTTAGAGCCTTGAATCATATGCGTGTGATTTGCATTCAGCGCGCTTCACGGTCTTACCTCGGAGAAAAAAAGTGCAGAAACCCGAAACTCCCGTTTCCATGAATCCCGTGTGAAAAACCTTCTTTCCGACTGGGCAGGTTCGTGTGCACCATATCAAAAGATGAAAGAAGTGACTTGCTTCTAGAAAATACTATGCATTTCAACCAACTTCCCAATGAAACGCTAAAGCCTGCTGCGAAGCGTAGCTTCTTGCTGCGTGCCGACTTTCCGAAGTATAAGCTCGAGATCCTGAAAAGCACAGGCACCCCACACTGATGAAACAGTATGGGTGCTTGGTGCCACCGTACCTGTAGCAGTCAGCGGCGATGTAGAGTGTCTTGACGAATCGGTGAGGAGCGGATGTTGAGAAAGGTATCTACAACGCGAAGAAATGAAAAAAGGGATATACAACAAAGTCAGAAGACCAGAGAGTTTTGGAGCCGCAGAGAGACTAACTCAGCTGTGCTGCGATATTTTGTTGATGTAAGGCACTTCGCTTAGTTCAAGAAATAACCGCCAATGGCATGATGCTCAATCCTTCGGAAAAGTAGGAACACGCAAGTGCTTCCCGGGCAATGCTAATTAATCGCTGCCCTGAATCAGCGAACAGACGTGAGATCCTATCTTCGACGGGTTGGACGAAATATATTGAGCGTCGATGAGCACTGGAAGCCCTTCCCGGCCCAGCATCCCCGGACCGCCACCGGGAGGCTTGGACTTTGGTAGCACCAATTATAGAAAACAGAACAAGGAGAAGTTTGGAAGTAGTTGTTCAAAGTCGCATATTTTTTTAAATCAAGGTTTTGCCATGCTTCGCAACATTGCAAGCATTTCTGAAAAGTCAAGGACACTTTGGGGCCTTTCATTTCATCTGTTGTATTAGGTGCACACCAGAGTCGTACTCTGCTACGACGTTTCGAGAACGTTGTAGCGACTCGTGGTGACGCGGAGGCAGCTTCGGCGTCTGTTGTTGGTTCTGATCACCATCGAAAGCGAGCCCCAGCGAAGGCGCTTCCACGGGTCGCCGGTAGTGGGTTTTTCAGCGTAGCTCCGACGGCCGCCTTTAATTCAGGCGATGCGTTACGATGCGGACCAGCACCACAAGAGTATCAAAAGAAGCTGAACAGTACGGGGACTGTCTCTCAAACGCACAAATGGAACCACGAAGTTTTTTCACCCAACTACCAACAAAGCGGAACACCTGCGTCGCCGCGAGTGACTCGCCAACGTTTTCGATCGACCGATGCGGCATTTTCTCCTGTCGATGCCACATTCTCACCCGGAGCGGCTCCTATTCTTCGTACTTTCTCTTATAAGCTTCCTGTACTTGTTGGTGCGGTCACTTGTGGGTGCATTTTCAGATCGGAGACATTGCGTGTGACTCCTCTGTCTCCACCGAAAAAATGGTACGTCGCTGGAAGTGCCACCTGTACAGCTGTAGATTTTGACATGACATTCCTTTTTTCCAGATATCGACGCGCGGAGCAGCGCGATGACAGCACGTTTTTCCGAGTCTACTTCTCCCCAGATAGAAAAACGAGTCGCCGAAGCACCCATAAAAAGCAAACGCATCGAGGATATGCAGACGAATGTGCCATCGACGGAAAAGGACCAGGTGCAAAATGATGGTCCCCCGAATGCAGATTGTTCCAGCAGATGCGACTCCGGCGAGGTGGATAAGAGTACCGATGAGACTACGGCACGCAGTGGAAGGCGGCGCTCGACGAAACGGGAGTCGTTTTTTGAGCATGTTTTTCCCGAAGCTTTAGCACGGGATCTTGGAATTGTCGTCCCTTCTTTGCGCGTAATATCATTGGAAGATCAAACGAGCAGTAGTTCCGCTGCCTCGTCGAACCGATCCTCACAAGTCGCTGCGGAGGGCGCGAGTGACGTCCACGGCGGAATGACGGATCCGCCCACAGGCTCAGTGGGCTCATTCAATGTTGCAGACGCACGAGGAGCTGCTGAGGGGATGGGGGAGCCGACAGATGAGGGTGTAGAAGCGGTGGAGATCCAACGAATAGTACGGCAGCACACTGGAGAAGCAGCTGCGCAGGTCTTGCAAGAACCGGTAGCATTATCAAGTTGTACTGTTGGGATTGTGCCGCTTGCTGAAGAAAGGGCGCGCGAAAGTCGGATGAGATATTCATCTGCGAACGCCGTTAAGCTTTCAGCTGAGAAGCGAGATATCGCCTCGTCCTTCGAAAATGGTGGATCTGCCGTTCCCAAACAAGAGAGGGCGGCGGCCTCGTCGCGCGCGCCGGTCGGACTAAGTGTGGCGAGTATTACGTCAGAGGAGACCGGTGTACCACAACGTCCGAAATCTTCCTGCACAGTGACACAACGACCACCGCCAATATCACAATTGCAGACGAGTAACGGGGTAACGGCAGGAGTGACTGGCGAGACGCTGATCAGCCCACGCGGGACAAACCGACTTCTTCAGAGCAGCACGGGAACGAAGCCGTGGGTTAGCGGCACAGCAAGCCCTCGGGACGGCACAAGCAGCAGTAGCAGTGTTTTACCAGTATCTACTAGTATGACAGACACATCTAATACTCCACCACGTTTTAAAGTCAACAGTCTTTTTACGGTTATGATGGTTCCTAGAAGAAACATGGCCATTATTTTTTTCTCGGTTAATATTATATTTCTCTATAATCTCATATGTTTTTGGTGTTTCCTACTTAGGCTGGTTCCACCCATGTTATAATGGATTTCACTGAAGAAGGCTGTGGGCAAGCATATGTCATTTGAGATCTAAGTTGTAGTCCGGAACCACTCGGCGAGGGCGCTTAATGGATCCGCGTTCAATGCACGTGGACGAGGTGCTCCGAAGTCGTCCCCGGGAGTGGGTTTCGGGAGCTCGGGGTCCGCGGGAGGCGGGTCATGTGTTGCAGGACTTGATCGATCGCGAACAGCGTCGAGAGATGCTCCGCGGGAGTCATCTTCTTCAGAATTGCGCGACCGGCACCAGCAGTTTCTTGAGATCCTCGGGTGCAGCTGCCTCTTCGACTTACGGTAGCACGCTGCATTCGCAATCTGCGTTTTCAGCGGCGGAGCAACAGCATCGGGCTGCGGCGCGAGAGAACGAAGGCGCGCGAAGCGGCTTTGTCGACTTTCTCCACCAAGCGCGTGCAGTAGGTGAGGAGGGGTCTGTATTCTCGTATTTAAACAACAGTCCGCGTGCCTGCAGCGCACGCGCGGCGTACAAGGACAAAAGCAAGGCTGCAGCAGCGCAAGAAATATTTCTTCTGAAAGAACGTCATTCGTCGGGTTCCGCGAACACGGGGACGAGCCCTGTTCATCAGGCGGCAAAGATGAATTCCCCAAGAAGTTGTGGCTCGCTTAGCCAATTCCGAAATAGTATTATCCTTGGAGCTCCTTCGCCCGTTGTTGAACAAGGACTCACAGCCCCAGCGTCACCGGTTGCCTCGGCGTCGTCATCGAAAGTGAGAGCTTCGACACGAAGAGCGCCAGGCGAGATTGATAGCGCAGAAAGAACGCGAAGCATGTCTAAGTCAACGGATGCCGCGTCCCCGCGACAATTCGGCAGTTCGCGTTCATCCCGCGTGACCCCCTTAGCCTGTCCTCCAGACAATGTAATTTATGCACATGCAGTAGTAAAAGTGATATGGATATGAATTTTCCCATGTCTGACATCCTTCACGATGCATGATTGGCGACTGGAAAGAACGCTGATCTACTTCACTTAGTACTTGTCCAAAAAAGTAGAGGTGCGACCGAGCTGACTTTTTTGATTGCTTAGTGGTTTTGTAAGCATCGGCAAACACCACACGTTCATTACTTCGGTGTAGCACAGGCAGAGGCAGCAGAGCATCATGACACTGCTCCGTCTCCTGTCTCACATTCACCACTTGCGCGCAACTTATTAGAGACGAAGTCTGTCGTGATACGACCCGACCCGGGACGGCGCGCGTCGCTGGAGTTGGAAGTTCAAGGACGAGCGATTGCTGGCCCTGCGAAGCGTTTTTCATTAACGGGTGCTTCAACAGATCGCAGAGGATCTGCAACGATAGCTTTTCCAATTACGACATCAACTAGTGAAGAAGCTACCAACTACGAGGTCCTACCTCAAGCAAAAGATAGCAGAAGCCGCGGCGGTGTAGTTCCGACAACTTCAAAGGAGATTACAGAAGCCAGTACTTCGTCAGAAACAAGATCTGCAGAAGTGAAGCCTCCAATTGTGGCTGACGCGGTGCTGGCTGCGGTATTAGGTCGTAAGCAGACTGAGCAGACATTTTCTGAAGAGAGCAACACCGACAGTGAAGTAGAGCATAACCCCGTGATCACAGCGCTGCCTCGACGTGCGTCGCGTGATGTTGCAGCTTCTATTTTGGACAGTGCCGTTGCACCTGAGGGGGAGGCTACAAGTGCAGACAGTTCTGACTTACCGCGACTGCTAGACCACCACACGATCTTCGAAAGCGGGGCGGCACCGGATGCTCCTAAAGACGCCGCAGCATCGGATGACCCTAAAGGACGAGGACGAGCAGCTGCAAGACGCGAGAGTTTCAACAGGGGAAGTGTAACGCAGGGACGCCCTGGTACAGCGGGAGGTGGTCCCACCGGATCGCAGCTGTTGGCGGCACCGACGGTGCAGCGCCCGCGCCGCCGTAGCAACCCAAATTTGAGAACCTCCCTACCGGATAGTACAAGCGCTGCCCGAGATGATGAGGACGAGGCTGGAGGAGGCTTCGTGTACCACAGTCCTTGTGGCGAGAAGACGGAGGCAATGAAGCTGCTGGAGCAGCGCTCGCAAAACAATGGGTCCCGCCGTCCCTCGCTCGTTCCGTCGCAGAACGCTTCGCGAAGACCCTCTCTTGTGCCCTCCCAGAACGGTTCTCGGCGTCCATCGCTAGTGCCCACTCCTAACCTCTCTTCTCCGCGTGTCGCATCAGACGTCGATGATCACACCCACGCGCCAGTTCATCTGATCAAGGGCGGCGCGCTCACCTCCATGGACACGGCAGGAGGCGGAGCGTTAAATGTAAACCCTGAAGCGATGGAAGCGCGCTTCGAGCAATTTCGAGCAGATGCAGACAGACTGCGAAAAAAACTAGATGCTCTGCAACAGGGCTAGAAGCGGTTGAACATCCTGGCATCCTGGCGTCGAGGTAGATGCTCGGTCTTCGACATTCAGGACCGCGCAGAGCTTAAGCCCTTGCTTACAGCGATTCAAGAGCGCAAACAATACCTAGAGTGAAAAGCAAAACCAAAAGACGTGTCGAGCAACAAGAGTAAGACAACCGACGTTCTTGGGGATGATAAAGAAGTCGCACAGCAGAACAATCGCGATGATTCTAGAAGACCGAGCATCTACTTTCTAGAAGAAATGTACAAAAAATGGATGCTCGCCCTGAGAAGATCACCTCGGCGGTTCGCGTGAGTACCAGGAGATTTCTGGTCATGAAGGTTTGATGGAATGGCAGCATTTTTGATGGAATTGAAAGCAGTTGGCGTTATTATGTTTCGGTGGAAAAAAGAATTGGACTCATTTTATGACACGTCACAATTGTGAGTCTAACACGGAAGTTTACTGAGCACCAATGATATGTCATTGCAGCACGACAGCCTATTTGGACAAGGACAGGTAGTGCACAGCATGCATAGAAACACTTCGAGAAGCAAAGTGACGTCGCATGAACAGAAGTGGTATAGCACACAGTAATGTGCTCAAGTGCATCATGCATTATCATCGACGACTACGATGCAGAGATAGATACCGATTTCCGTTACGTACTCCTAAGAATGCCACAGCGTAGAAATAGCAGAATATCTACAACAGGCGTCAATTCAGAGCTCCTCCTCTCTGAAAGGGTCACACTATGGGCTACCACGTGCCACAGTGTACTAAACACGGTAGTGGATCCTTGGGCAATTCACTTGCCTGGATTTTAGCTGGTTCTGGCGTGTCCTCCAGCAGGACTTTGTCTGTGTTGTGCTGCGAGATCAATATTGCGGAAAATTTAACTTTCACAAATGGTAGTGGGGAAATTTCTAGACAGGACTTCGGCTGGGCCGGTGTTTCCGATCGCCTTCCTTCATTGTTTTCATTTTCTCGATCATGGTAACTACGCATTGCCTAAATTGATCTTTCTATGTGATTTGATTTGACTCTAGTGAATTACCTGAACCTGAAAGAATAGAACATTTATTCAATCATCTTGGGCTAGTGAATTTGTTTTTGAGCCAGGAGGGTTACTACTTATGTTCTACTTCTAGACCACAATGACGCGAGTACGCAAGAAGAAACCTCCCTCCCCAGGAGGAAAACACACCTTCTCCAACTCTGCTAGTGGTTCCGCGTCCAACAAAGGCTTGGTCGAACTCCTTCGTACTACTGATGTTGCTGTTCATAGGGCAACGCTCACGCTTTCGTCGTGCCGAGAAGAATCAGCTAAAAGCGCAGACCTGGTTCCGTTTTCCTCCTTGTTATGGAGAGTGTTTTTATATTCCTTATTTACATCTCTTTTTCTGCGTTTGATGACTCAACACTGCGGTCGTGCTAAAAAGGGGATCCATGAAGTGAGCACTTTCACGTCCAGAACGTTCTCCAATGGAAAAGTATGACGAAAGAGTACCGCTCTAACTTTGACCGTATCGCAGGCAGCAGCCTGCGTTAACCGCAGCAAGGATGCACAGCTACAAGCCTTGCGGGAGCGACTCTTCCCAGCAGGCAAGGTGGCGGAGGAGAGAGCACTTTCGATGTCGACCTGGGATCGGCCTTGGTTTTTGATGCTACGACAACAATGGCGATGGCTGGTGCGCTCTTTACACGACATTGAGCGATCTAATGGGAATGATGGCCCACCAACAGTAAAACCTGCGATCTCATTCACTCCAGACCTGTCGTGGCTGCCGTCTTTTCTTCATTTGTATGAGACGAGGAAAATCATTACTCATACTCTACTGCAAACGATTACTTGTTACATCGCAATGTAGTTGCCCTGGTTCCAGTCGCAGTGGTAGTTTCATTGTCCGATGGGTTACTCCAGGATTAAGGGGGAAGGCTCCTACCAAAATATTTCTGAGTATGAGTAAACTTTTTCTTGTCATAGTAGGCGTCCACATTTCATAGTACGGCTCACTTGGGATGCGATTCGCGGACGTGGCGGCTACGGCAGTAGCGTGTTCACAATATGCAACGTTTACGTAGCCCACGTGCTTGCACACTCAGTATTTCCATATTGCTTCTTCACACACGTCGCTGAGGAGGAGGACACGTTTTTCTGGGAAAACGATGACGATGCGCGGGTTTGGGAGACGGATGAAGAACAGTCGTCCTGTACGAATACGACGGATCCTTATCTTGACAGTTCAAATTCTATCTTTCCCTCGCCAAGCCTAACAACGACAAGCAGGATGGCGATGAATGCGACGAGAGCTTCGTCGGAAAATGGAATCTGTCCCGGCCTACGGTCTCCTGGGGAAGCTTTTTATCCTGTTTGTTTGCCTGGAACGGAGGAGGTCGACGAGTTTCTTGGCACAGGCTTCTCATACGAGGAACTTGTGCCCCAAGTGGTTTGTGTCTTTTACCTTTTCTGGTGGATGATGCTCGTATACGTATTCTCGTACGAATTTCTTCTAGCGGTGGACGCATTGGCCGACTCAGAGAAGACAGTTGAGGAAGCGCGTCAACGAGCAAGCATGAGTCGGCGACTCTTGGAAAAAATCGTAAGCCGCTTTGGCCTAGTTACGACTGCGTTCCCTATGCTAGAGAAGCCACACCAGATGAAGCACGACAGCTTCCCTCCAACTAGGACAAAAAATAGAAGGGCAGTGGACTCCTTCAAGCTTCTGCCGACCTACCACGTGGGTCGCATCTACCAGTTCCTCACGCTTGCCGACTGGTGTTGCGGTATGCAGTTAGACAAGGATTTTCACGCGATTTTGTCCGCACAGGCAATGCGAGAAGAGTACTTCTTCCGAATGAACTGGACGGCACTACACGCGCTAGTGCTGGCTGAGCGGACCTGGATCAACAAGATTCGAGCAGTGGGAAAACTCTTCAAGCTGCTCTTCCGCCGCGAATTTTTCGAGAAAAATTCTGCTCCGGTAGCAACTTGTGTAAGTACGTATCTTGTTCTGTATAGAAATACTCAACGTAAATTGATGTCGAGGAAAACGATGTGAGTATTGTAAATTTTGTGTCGCTGGCTGCTCGAGTGTGCCAATATTGTTCATGATTACGTTTGGGACTGAAATAGTTCATCTTCAAACTACAATGCCTGAACTAGACTGCGTTGGACGTGCAAAATGGGCGATTGCGATTTCGTTGGGAATTGCTTCAACGCCCGGAGTGGCGGGAACCATTGCTGCGCATAATCTCCTTGCGGAAAGGACCACTTGCGCGCTCACGGCGTACTTCTCCTGCCAACTCAGGAGAAGCGGCGGATTTCAATAAGTGGGGCGGCAACGCATTACTGGCTCAAGTGATGGCACAAGGCCTCCGGTTCGGGCGACAAGACATTGTAGAGGCAGCGGCAAGAAACGGTGCAGATCCAGCAAAAAAGTTTTGGATAGTCGCGCCCTTCGGGCCGGTATTTTTTTTGGCTTCAATTAGCATGTAGACTAGAAGTATAATACTATTTCTACACACGGAAGATGAAAATTTTAAGCCTTGGATACTTCAGTTTATTGAAAAAAAAAACCAATGAAGATGACAGGTACTGTTGGAATCTCGCTATTTTCTTTCCTATGCCTCAGATATCACGCGAGGCTTTATTGAATATCGCTGCAATCGCGGGACATCCGGAAATGGTACGATGGCTTTTGGACCGAGAAGTCGACGTGAACGCGATCGGAGGAAACGGGAGGCAAACTTAAGGTTGATACTCCTATGTCATCTCTGTGTAGGAATCTGTGACGCATGTGGTCATGCAAAAGATGGAAAGCCCTCTTAGCGAGATAGGCCACAGGAACAATGCTTTTTGGGGAGCTGCTCCTGCTCTAAGAAAATGCTCTGCACGCCGCGGCGTTCTCCGGACAGCACGAGGTGATAAGTGTGTTGTTGGAGCGTGGAGCGAACATCTTCGCCGCAGACGCTTCGGGACACACCGCACTGGGCATCGTGGATTCAGCGATGATGGTGCGCGCACACTGGCTTTCGAGAAATCCAGATCGGTGGGAGCGTGCGCGCGAGATACTGCGCGCGGCCCGTCAGGCGCGCCGCGCCGGAGAAAATCAAGCGCGACTAAATGAGGAAGCAGGCGAGCGTGGCAGGAGAAGGAATGCCGCAGCACCAGGGGTGGTGAACGGAGAAGAAGCCGCCAGGAACAATGACAGGCAATTAAATGGCGGACCCGCGGGTGACCTTGCCTTGAATCACGAAGCAGAAGGCGCTGCAGAGAGAGCGGCTGCCGAAGGCAGCGATTTGAACGACCAAACGATTGAGGGGGGCGCTAGCCGTAGGGAGATACAACAAGCACAGAAGGGAAAAGACAAAACAGTTCCAGAGCAAGATGGGAGCACAAACTCACTGCAGCCAAGTACGAGCACCACTAGCAGTAGCAGCAGCGGCGTTCCCAGCGTTGGAAAAGACAGCACTGACTCGGGGCATTTAAGTGTCGCCGGCAGCGGCAGCAGCAGCACTAGTAGTAGCACGAGTAATGTAAGTACGACGGATCGAGACCCTCAGGTGAAGAATCTGTCCGCACCCAAAACTACAGCTCTCGTCGAAGAAGGTAGTAGCCCGTCAACTCTCCCAGGAGCCAGTAGCAGTGCCACAGTTGGTGGAAAGAGTGCCGCAGGCTTCCAAGTTAGTACTGACCGCCTGCCCGCGCATATCATAAACTTCAATGCTTTTGCAGGTGGACTGAGAGGTGGGGACTCGGCGCTTGTTGTTGCTGGCCACACTTCCGACTCGGACGTTTCCGGGGACGATGGCGATCATCGTGGGCGCCGCGGAGGGCCATTTGGTGTTGTCAGAAGAAGAGGGTTCGATAACAATGACGGCGCTGACGGCAATGGCAGAGGAGACGACGACTTTTCGGACGAAGAAGAGGGTTCCGACGGCGAATGGGATGACGAGTGGGGCGACTGGGAAGATGAGGACGAGGGAGACGAGGACCCCGAGAACGACGATGAGGAACCTGTTCGTCCAGGGGACAACGCGGAAGATAACCCTAATCCAGACGACGACCCGGAGAACGGACAGGGGCCTGGTCTAGAAAATGGTGGGCGTGTTGCTAATGTTCTCAATTGGATTGACGACGTGCAGCGCAGATATGAAGCATGGATGACAGGGGGACCAATCTGACGAAAAAGGACCCTTTGATCTAATCTCTTAAGATTTCCATGATGATTAATATCAGTCATTCTGTTGTTCATGTCACTCGATATAACTAGAAATGTGCCGTACTGACTACTGCTATTTTCGTCACTCCTCACGCTGTATGATATTTGAGGTGCCGCACATCATGTTCTTATTCAATCTTATCGCAGAATCTAAACCAAAACCATTCAGTTGTGGAATTTGGGAAATTGAACATTTGAAGTCACCTTGCTCTTGTTGAGTATCTAGGAAGGCTAGGATATTGTCTGAAGTTGAAAAACTAGCGCATTATTGCATCCGCGCGCGTCCTCTCTTGTATAATGAAACTCTTATGATCAAGTAGAAACTAATGAAAGGAACAAGCTGTGATCCTTCTCATGACGTGGTTACCCTCTGCATCTGTTGTATTTTGGGTCTGTTCATGGTTGATACGACTTCCTTTCTTTTCGTGATTTGATATCAAAACCAGAGGAAGGTAACAGCAAAACCAATAAGCCGAAAGCTCCCTCGTTACTTACCGGCTTAGCGCCTCCGTCACCACGAGAGGCAGATGTTACTATTCGATAAGTTCTTACGTGATCCTGTTCGAAACTCAGAGAGAGAGAGAGAAAACTAGAAGGTCGCCTTTCTTTGAGCGAATGAGTGATCGCGGCAACTGACACGCTGAGTGACGGACGAGTGTTGAATGTTTCTCGTCTTCTTTCAAAAGCTTTTCGTGCAGTACTACAAAGTATGAAACAGAATCGAATATTGCCGTGTGTCGTGGTTGTCTCCAATATCGTCGCATGTTTTCACAGGACAAAAAATTGGATGAAAAAAGTTTGATGTAATGGAGACAGGAGGTGTGGTAAAGTATGAGAGTAGATTTAGATTCGTGCTGGTCTGTAAATTTCGTTGTAGGCTTACCTGAACAACAAAAAGTTTCTAATGGCAGCACAGAGAACAGCAGAATTTAGATAAACTTAATGCAAATTTATACCTGGATGTGCTTCTGAAAAAGTGGTAGGTTGCGGAGGCTACATTAGATTCAAAAGTATGGTCGTCGCGGACCGGTCAGGTCGCTGTGAGCGGCCGCGGTGACGCTAGGCCTCCGATTGTCGTCGTCAAGGGGCTCGAAGGCTCGTCTGACGAGGAGCCACGTAGACGCAACTCGTGTACGAGCAACGCCTCAGTGGAGGGGTGACTGTAACTAGCACTGGAACGAAAACTATTCTCTGAGAGCGTCGAATTTGAAAATCGCCCACGGGAGAAGAACCAGAAAACGGACTTTTTTCTTCGACCAGCATCCGGCTGCGGGCCACGGAATATCGAAGTAAGTAGGCGACCGTTGCGTGCCTGCTAAGATATTAGGGAGTGTGCGAGGCGTTCGAACGTGCGAGACTGCGAAAGGAGACTTTCCATTGGCGCATAGCGTCGATTTGGCAGCGATATTGTCGACGCACAGCGAACAAAATCGACAAGCGTTTGTACTAGAACTGGCACGAATAGCTAGTAAATTCAAGACGGAGTACTCCACAACGACCTGAAGGCAACTGCTTATTACACAATTCCAGCAGCAAGAAGCTTCTGACGGAACAAGGCACTTTTGAGTTCTAGAAGTTCAATTTTGTCGAGCGGTACCTTCTAACTTCAGTAGCCAAGCACTTCTGCACTGGAAGGAAACGAAGAGACAAGTCAGAATTCCTAGTACTAGAAGAAAAAGTACGACTGCAACAAGATGGTGACCGTTGCGGAACCACTTTCGGATTTCAAGGACCTGGGACCGGTGGTCTATCAGGAGTCCAAAATCCTTGACAACGAAATCCACCTCCTCTGTGTACACGACAGTCGAGAAAAAAAGTTCGTCAATTTCGAAGCCTACAGTTTCGAAACCGGAAAAGTCTCCAGAATACAATGGGACTACGTCAACTTCGACTCACATTTCCGGTACTTCTAATTATGCGTTGGTGTATGGAGGAAAGTAATCCATTCAGTATTGAAATAATACGTATTCCTTCAACATCAGAGATATCACAAGTTTTGTATATTTTTTTACCACAACTCTACTCCTTGATTGACCTGTAACCCTCAAGCTTCAACGCGGAGTTGATGAACCCCAACAATCGGGAGGGACGTTATCACTGGGTGTGCGAGCGACTAAATTTCGTCAGCGATGGGAAGGGTGGGCGCAAACTTGAGCTTTGTGAGCCGACGGATGACATGCCGCAAGTGGCTGACCGAGCTAGAAATTTCAAGATCCCAACAGGCCGAATGAACTATGCAGATCGACAAAGATTAAGGCTGGAGATGGAAAGGCTACCGGTACTTCTTTCTAGTCGCTTGGAGATGAAGAAAACTCGACAGTTATAGTCCATTTCTGGTATATTTTGAGGCTTTTTAGGTTTTCGTACAGAAGTAAAAGTAGTTGCAGTACTTTACACGAGCTCTATTACATCAATCTTCATGTTGTTTTTTATGATCTAAGCTGAAACCACCTGCACTTGCTCTCACCTTCAGAAAAAACGCGTTGAGAATATAGACCGAATGGCGGCAGAGTTTAAAGCAGCATTCGTGCAGGAGGTGACGGAAATGCAAGAGATGGATAGAAAAAAAGCCGAGATAAGGGCACAGAGGATCGAAGAGGAGCGGAAAGTTCGATATAACGAAATTTGTGAGGTAATACACCCCTTATATTTTCAACTTATTGTTTTTTGGGATTTGGATCATGTTGTATGTCCCGCTTTTTTCTTGTGCTCGCCACTTCAGTCTCTTACATCGATCTAGACAACTTCTTTTTGGGGTTTATTTCTATGTTTTATGATCTGTTCTTTCGGGCAAAATTTTCAGGTTCGGCAGGCAGAGAATATGCTAAAGCAGGACTACGGGGATAAGGAGAGGAAGAGAGAGCAAATTATCAAGAACAAGGACGATGCGAGAAACGCAGCGTCTGTATTATAGTCTTAACGAGTTTTAGCTTAGTTCGCCGACCAGGACTACTAATTCTTCTGATACCCTTTCAAACTCCACTGATTTCTATTATTCATCTCCTTAGTAAAGCTTTTCCAATCAATCCCTTGCACCAGCTCGCAGAGATCCGACAGCTGTTGAAGGAGCACGACGTACAGCGGAAGGCTACGCAAGTAAAAGTGGCAGAACAGCGAAAAGCAAAAAAAGAGGAGAGAGAAGAGACGAAGCGAGCAGCAGAGGAACGTTTTGCTACAGATCAAGCAGCCGAGGATCGTCGACTAGAGAACTGGGAAAAACGTGAGGACAGGCTTGAACAAAAAGCGGTAATATGAACTAGAAGAAGTTGCTACTGCTCTGGATTTTGATTGCTTATATTTTCTTCATTATGTAAATCGGTTTAAAGTATGAGGATTATAGCTAAGCCGTCAAATAATTCATTTTTCGGGTGTCTTTTCATTGCTAACATACATTGATCTGTCGAAATCGAAAATAGAAATATCATTTTCACCATAGTCATCTTCACCTAGATTCGCTTACAAGCTGAACGGGCGAGTTTTCTAGAGGGCATCGAAAGAACCGAGATATCACGCAGCGAGAGGAAAAAAGAGCTAGCCCACGATTTGCAAGTGATAAGACAAAACCTCTGGGCCAAGGCGTCTGCAAAAGATGAGAAGCGAAAAGCGTACTAATCGATTAATGCGATAGCAAACGAGAGTACTATTGTTGATTCTCTATTTATAAGTGATCCTGACTCGGCTACTTTTTCTTTGATATTTGAATTATTTTTTCTCAAAGTTTTGACCCTAAAAAGCGATTGTTACCTCCACTCATCACAGGGACAATAAAGCGGCGTTAGATGCGCTTGCTCAACAGAAGGAGCACGCCAAGCAAGCAGCGTTGCTAGGCATGACAAAGAAAAAGAGGGTACCACTGTCCTTTATGACCTAGAAGTTTTTTAATTTTTCGTACCAAGATAGTGGAATGCGAGTTCACAGTGAATTGACTGTTTCGATTGCTAGCTGATAAGTAAGAGTAACTAATTGCACAGCGACAGATGAAGGTCGTAATGCTTATGGAAAAATCTCAACACACACGCTCATAGGCAGAATTGTTTGCTGTTGATAAAAGTAGCTAACCTGTATTCTTCTTTAGGAACGCAAGAGCGACGCGCGAATGGATGCGGTAGAGGCGGAAATGAGGCAGCAGCTAGAAGCAGAAGGCAAGCAAAACGAAAATGCGAAAAAGCGAGATTCAAAATTCATTCGCATAGAGGCCAAGAAAAATGATCGCGAAGTCCAGAAAGTAATCGGATGGAAGGAATCAAAAATCGAGGAAGCCTACGCGAAGCAGAGAGAGTACTTTTTTCAACACTACGTATCTATACATAGGTACTTGCAACTCTACCTATTGGAAATGATGTTATTTGCGCATGCTTACATGAAATAGAAATTCTTCAAGGACAAATAGAATTTTACTGCTAGTAGAAGTCTCAACAATATAATCATTGTACGACTAGTACCTCTGTACTACCATCAGGCGGCAAGAGAAGGCCGCTCAATTAGCGGAGGCGATAAAGGAGAAATTAGCAGAAGAGGCGCGATCCAGAGACGTGCAGGAGCGCAAAGATAAGATGCGAAATATGGCCCAAGATCGCAAGCTGGGTGAGCGCATGAGGCGTCTAGTCCCCGGCTTCAAGAGTGAAGGTAGCGTCTTCAGACCGCAATGACATCGCGTCGAGTCTTCATCTCGGCAATGAAGATCAATTGGCTCGATACTACTTCTGGATCTCGAGAAGGAGTTGTTTTCTGAAGATCAGCCTAAATACTATAGTGTTACGTTTTCTTGAGAATATTTCTGCATTTGCTTCGTTTAGAATCTGCTCAGTTAAATAGAAATGGAAACTACTACTGCTCATCAGAAAAGGGTGGATCCGAGGTTTCGCGCAGATGCACCGGAAACCATACTGATATTTTATAGAGGAAACTGCTGATTAAAAAATCACGAGTCTTGCAGCATTATTGTAAGACAAAGCCTTGATATTTAGATATAGAATTCGACAGCAAATGATAGATTTTGAAATCGAATGAACTGTTACTTACCATTCTCCAAAATGCTGATGTACTTCAAAGAATTCACACCTTATAATTGTGGTGTCTGCAGGTGCAGAGATATAACGACCGCAAAGAAATAGTAAAAAGTAATTCTAATTGCCTCGTTTTTATTATAAAAATGATGTTGACCACGAAGAATTCCTCGTACTAGAGTTAGTTGCAGATTAAGACTGCAAGAAAACTAGCGAAAATTAGATCTAACGACATGAGTGAAATAGCTGAGTGACCACATCACATCCTATATTATCGCAATATCGACGCTTACATATCGCAAAAAATCTAGTGACGTTCATCTCATCTGACACTAAGATACGGCCAATCGTCACAGAGGACGGTAAAAACAGTGCAAAAAAAATGATGTCATGAAATCATCACACAGAGATGGTCTTGCATTGTAGAAATGAATTCGACATTGTTTGTCCCCCATGATAATTGTAGAAGACAGGAATCAGAGCTGCCTGACCAACGTGGATGGCTCGGTGCCCAGGACGAGACACGCTATGCTTCGCTGAGACGACTGCCTGCTCATATTTCACTTTGCAGCCTCAGCGCTTTTTTTATGTGTCGTTCAGTGAGTACTGAACTCTATGTTGGTATCTATCGATAAATGTTACCAGTGCTGCTCGTTATCGATTTTATGCGAAGCCTGGAAAAAACACTTTGGCATTTCGTTTTGAGAGTACGAGTCCTCTTATCCGAGAAGCGCACTCTCGAAGATACGAGAGTCTTGCTGGTGGGCTTCTATGCGGATATTGAATTGTCGCTAATTCGTTATGAGTAAATGTGATATATGAGAACTGAAGATCAAGAAGGACTAGTTTTTTTTTCCCAGAATGGCCACAGGTTCACTTGCCACCGGACGCTCACGGAGGAAGACTCGCGACTCCTCGTGGTAGCAAGTTGCCAGCAACCCTCCGACAGCATCTATCAGCAGATGCAGCGACTCTTTAGGCAGGATCCAGACGCCTCTGGTAAGGGAGCATTGGTTTGGCGGTTGACTGCTCGGGGGAAGAAGAAGGCCGGCTGATTATACGCGCATTCATTCCGACTGACGAACCCCGTTGGCAGGTTGGTGGAGACGAATCAGGCTGGTTTAGTCTTAGAGCAACGATGTCGGACGACGGTTCGCCTCCGGGGAGCCCTGCCGAGTCTCGGCATGCGTCCGAAATGTCGAGTCCGGTATGCAGCCCAACAACAGTTGGCGCAATATCTGGGCAGCCTGAATCCGGCGGGCGGCTTATGCGTTCTGTGACGCAAATGTTGCTTGATCAGGAGGCAGCGAAGAAGTCTAGAAAACGATGGCTACCACCAATATTTCAGCCAGGTCGTCGAACGACGAGTACCCGCCGAACCTACCTAGAGTCCTTGGTTATGGCGTGTGAAAATCAAGCAAGAAATCAAAGTTATGGTCTCTAGATCACAATAGAGATCCACTCATTCAGATGAACCACGAGGGATCAGGTTTTTTGGCGAAGAAATTACCGATGGTAGCTTCTTGCTGCTCACGTCTGAAGATGCAAGTCTTCTAAGTCCTGTCTGCAAATGACCCCTGCCGAAATGGATATGCTAACCGAGGAGCTAGAAGTGGCTGAGGAGGTCTCAGAGTGGATGTTATTCGATCTGATCTTTGGTTTTTTCGTCATGGTGAATGCGTTCTTTATCGCCTTAGAGGACAGCTTCAACTATGCATCCGAATCGAACCAAATTTCGGGATGGTACAACAACTTCTGCAATGTAGTTGTATAAGGCATGACAGGTTGAGACGCTGTGCGGAAAGGGCCATTGCTGAACGAAGGCGTAGTTTAACAGAGGAAGAGAACTCCCTTTTCTTCTAATTACTGGTGGTGTCATGACTATATTATGATACTAACTTCCTCATCAACTTCACTCGTGACGAAAACTACAAGAACTGAAGCTTTTGAAACCACAACAGGTTCCTTGCCGAAGTCTTCTTTTTCCTTTTGTTTTCTCTGGAGTTCGGGCTTCGTATTATGGGTGCGAAAAGCTGGCAGCGTATGTACCATGATGTATGGATGTCCATCGATTTTTTTCTATTGAGCATTACAGCACTTGACCTCTTTCTCCTGAAGTGGGTTCTCTCCGGTGATTCAGCTGGAAATTTAACCGTCTTCCGCGCTTTCCGTATTTTCCGACTCGCAAGGTTGGTGAGAGTTACAAAGTTGTTGAAAAACGTTCACCAACTCGTCATGGGTCTGCGCATTTCGGCACGCACGCTCTTCTGGGCGATGTCGCTCGTGGCACTCACGGTTTTCATCTTCGGCGTCTTCATTTATGAGGTTCACTGAGTCAGATGTTTTCTGTCTAAAGTATGTTATCACGCATGGTATAAGCAATAGTAATACAACAACGCCTTCATGGTCATTGACGTCAGATATAAACTTTCTAAGGCTGGGTTGAGCTCGTTGGCTCGGACAAGGAAAAATATTCGATCGCGGTGCGGGATCGATGGCGTGATTTGTCCACTGCGGCGACGAGTTTTCTTCTCCTTGCTACCTACTCAAACTGGCAGGAAGTAATCGAACCTTTAAAAAGTGAGTACCCGCTCTTCCTCTTGCCTCTATTCCTCTTTTTGCTCATTGTCGTCGTGGGGATCATGAACATGATCATCGGGGTCATGGTCTACACAGCCTTGTCAATGGAAGAGCACGCAAAAAATAGCGGCGAAGCAACGCGAAATTTTGAGCACCGAATCGGCCTCGCAAAGCTGCGCAAGATTCTCTTATGTGGACACTGCTATGACCTCGTTGCTGTTTTCGAGAAGCGTAAGTTGCATAGTGCTTTGTACCTCTTCTAGAATACAATATGAGCAAGGATGAAAATGCCGCCCTGATGCACTAGCAGGGCTTCCGGAAGATTTGATGTAGAAGTAGCATTTCCGTATGATCGAAGTGTCAGGAACACCTTGCTCGAATCTTTGGCTCGATCAACAATCGGCCAATGCTGCGCAATCCTCATCGGATGAGCATCGCTGAATTTTCGGAACTGTATGATGAAGTGGAATTCCAGGCGGAAGTGAAGTTCCTAACTAGCTTTATCACGATTCCGCAGCTCCGTGAAGTTGTCCAGCTTATCTCGGAAGTGAATCCAGAGACCGGAGAGCGGGAGTTCTCCATCGACCAGTTCGTGAGGACCTTGGGCTGGTTGTCCGAGAAGGTGGTGACACCCCGCGACCTGGTGTACATGAAGTCTGCGGCATCGCACGCACTAACGAAAATTACCAGCATTGAAGAGGAAAACAACAAGACTGTGGTGCTCGTGATGCAGCGACTAGACGCTATATTCAAAGACTCGCAGGAGGTAATTCATATTTTTCGTAGAAAAATACAATAAAGATCATCAGATGACGAATTTCTATGCATTGCTGTACGAACGGTCACTACAACGAACTAGGTCTTCCCGCTTTTGCTGCGAGGAGAAAGCGTGTCTAGCTACGGTGATCGAGCGCGTACACGCCAAGAGGTGACACAGACGATGAGCGATCTTCTGATGTATATGGGCCCCCAGCAGCCAGGTGCGACAGCAAAGGACCACCGTGCAGTAGGAAAGCACGAGCTCGAGGTAGCAAGGGCACGGCGGAAAGCGCACTCTCAGGCAGCGCGGGCCAAGAACATGCCGCCGCCGCGCGCGCCGGCCATTGCTATCGCTGCAGCGCAGATGGCGAACCCTCAGGCACTGGACGACGTCACCTCGGTCACGTCAGACTACCTCATGTTAAGTCTTTGTATTACAACAATTTGTACTTCAGATGTAGCTAGACGTCCACCTCAAAGTGAACACACTACACTTCGTGACGGAGAGGAAGTTCGGGAGTCGTGTGTCAGGATGAAAGATGCGCAAGATGACGTCTCTCTAAATATCGACTATGCGAGCGACGGGGCTTCGGTAGTTGAAGACGAGGATGGGATGCCCGGACTACGTCGTCGGGCTTCGGGCACGAAACTTAAGACTACTGTAGTTTCATCTTTAAAAAGACGATTTGTTTTTACGGCGAAGTATTTCTATTTTATGTCGGAAGTGTGTACTTACAACTTAGAGTTAGAGATGTACTTCTAAAAAAACGTTGCAAGTTCTTAACAACTCTAATAAGAAAGGATCTTCAGGGCAGATGCTGGGAAAGGACGAGGTTGAGCTACAAAAGAGGGCAGACGAGGGGATGCATCCGGTCTGGGTCCCTATGGTCGAAACATTCTCGCCAATCTTCACACAAGCGGAGTACGAGCAGCTGAGGCTAGCAGACAAAATCAAAGCTATTTATCCAGGTGAGCCAAGTTTTTTTCCGGCGTCTCTTTGTAGTACCTGTCGTAGAAGACTCTTTGATGTTAGCTGTTGTTGCAGTTGAGAACCGCGGTGGCATATAGTGCGACTTGTTCGACCACTACCTAGCTAAACTATTGCCTTTGCATGTGTTGCAATATGTCAATTTTTGTCATCATTTTTCGCAACAGAATTGCATCCGAACCACGTGGAAGAACATCCAGACGCTTATGTAATCGGCCAGCAGCACGGGTTGGCTGGCTGGTCGTGCCATGCATGGAACGAGTTCGATTCGGCATTGATCAACCAATGCAACGACTGGACTGACAATACGCGTGCGCTCCTGTCGCGAAGGCATGAGAACTACCACCGACGCAACGTCGAGGAAGTTGCGCGCCTAGAGGGCCTTTTCAAACAGGTAAAAGTAGGGTTTCGAACACGAAACGATCTGCCTTTTACTGGATTCTATTTCGGGCAGGCGCGTCGGCGATCAGGAGATCTGAGCAGCGTTGAGCCGAGTGCACCGACCAACGAGGGCGGGGAGGCGATCACTGAAGATCCGGCGAAAGCACGTCGCCAGGGCCGTGGTAGCTCCTCGCGCTTGCGGCTTGGCAGTCGAGATGATGAGAACGACGAGGGTGGGATAAATGTAAAGCGTCTTGCGGCATCAGTCATACAGAATGTACGACAGAGCGGCCTGCTGGCTTGCTTGCCAGCTAGTTGTCGAAGGCGGATTCTCGCAACCCAAGCAGGTCATTGGTGCTGCGGTGGTAGGGGCCCTGGGGCGCGATTCGTGGGAGGCGCGAACGCTGCTGCCCAGGCCGTATATAAGCGAGTCGGATCCGCCGCGAGCGTGCTGATCGGAAGCAATGAAGGACACACTGCAACTGACGGCGAAACGGACGGCACGCAAAGCCCAGGAAGTCGTGCTGCCGGAGGGCAGCGTCTTGAGCGGATTGACACCATGTCTTCGGTCGTCGCCGCGAACATGTTCGCCATGACTCCACGCAGTCTGGAGAGCGGGACGCCTCGAGGAGGCGACGGGAGGGAGGACGGCGCGTCTGTCGGTGGAGGTGCTATTGGTATAAATGCACGTGGCGGAAGAGGACAAGGATCTGAATGTGGCGATAGTAGAAGGATCAGCAAAATGTCCTCTGCTTCTGCGCTGTCCGCAGCTTCCTTAGATAGCGCGGGTGAGACAGGTGGCGACGGAGCTGGAGCAGATGCAGGGGCCGGGGGAGAAAACGAGGATACGCAGAGTATGGTGTTTTTCCGGGAATTGATCAATGCTGCTTTATTTCCGAGCGAGTGCGTTTGGTGCAGCATTGCCCTCCTCCACGCTATTTTGATGGGCCTGGAGCTGGAAACGCGAACGAACTACAACGGGGAGGGGTCAGACGCATCGGCGGGTCGCAGTGGCAATGATACGTGGCGGCCAGTAGAGCTTGCTTTCTTAGCCTTTTTCTTGGTGGAAAACTACATTCGCTACCTTCTTTTCATTCAGCTCGAGTACCACGGCGATTTAGTACTCACTTTGGGCATACTTCCGCTCCGGAAGTACATTCTGACCTCGACACTGATGCTGCCATGCGAAATTTGGTATCCGACTGTTTCGGTTGCGCGTTGAAATAGCGTAAAAGTGTACCAAGTACTTTAATTTTCTTGATTGAATTCTCGATCTTGATCAGACTTTCCTCCCTTTCAATATCATAGGTATTTCATTCGCTGCGATCCCTATGCGGGCTTTGATCTTTTTCTGATTTGCGTCGCCGGATTTGGTAACATTAGCATACTACCGTTTCGGCTTCCACTAGTGCAGTTTTTGCGGTTTGCGCGACACGATTTCGCGCGTGCGGACGAACTTTGGCTTCTGTTGCAAGGAATGCAATCGGCGGTGCGAACGCTCTTTTGGGTAGGTATTGGTGGAACCATCATGATCTACGTGATCACCATTTTCGGCATGCTCTTGCTCCGAGACCAGAACTTTCCAGGCGGAGAAGAATACTTCGGCACGCTCTCGAGAGGCTTCGTAACTGTGATGCAAGTTGCGACTTTTTTAAGGCCATTTTTTAGCAGATTTTATGTATTGGGAGAAAGCCTCTGACAAGATGAGTTCGATTTGTTCCCCGTAAAGTTTTCTCTTCTGTCGACCTCTAACGTCTGACGGCTGGTCGTCCGTAGCCAAGCCCATGGTAGATTCTGGGAATGTATCTTTCATGTTCTTCGCCTGCATCATTATGCTGATGAATTTTGGTCTTTTGAATATCGTGATTGGTATTTTTTGTGAGACAGCCTACGAAATACTGGACGAGAGGCGGAAACGCACAGATATGCGCACATACTCCGAAATGAGAGCAGACATGTCGAATCTGCGTTCAAGATTGGCGGAATACTTGAGCTTCGACACGGAAGGGGAAGTTTACATTTAAGAAGGAATGTGAATCTTCGACTTAAGTGCAACAACTTCATCTTTGAAATTTTATCTTTCACAGGGAAAGTTGGGATTATTAGACAGTGCAAAGCGCGAAAGCATGAAGAGTGGAGAAGATATATATAACTTTGAAATGGGTTTGATCGCTAATACAAGGACAGAAGACTCCTGGACAAGATGCTCACGATGAATCCGAAAAGGAGGACAACACAAGGGAACGATGGCGCATTAGGAGCACCTGGGGGTTCGTCTTTATGGAAAGGACTGTAGGGTTTTCGTTCCTGTACGTGCGGCCGTCCGAAGTTGACCTTGCTGACAAGGCACGAAATTTTCCTTCCTTTTGACGAGACAAAGTGACGATAGACTGATACGCCTGTCTTGAACATATTGCAGCTTGTCAATCGTACTAGAAAAACAATAAGTACAACAAACATGATCCTACATCTCCGAACAATCCTTGTTTCATGTAATGCCGCATTCCACATAGCGGGACTGTCGCACAAGGAACTGCAGGTGATTTTGGATACGTTGGATGTTGATCCCACTGAGCACGGAGAGCAGCAGATGGCAGAGTTCTTCACAGCCTTAGAAGCATGGCAGCGCCAGCAAGTGCGTGCCATCGATCTTTTCGCACTTAGGGTCTACAGCGAGGAACTTTTGAGACGTGTAACGCGGCTTCGTGAGTTACTCCATTCAGTGCATCGTGAGTACGGAAGGCACCTGCCAAGAATGGCCCACGATCTGCATAAAGCGAAGCATCAACTCTTATGGACGATTGGTGTGAGTATTTGTACTGCGTGTCTAGTTTGTTGTCAAAGAGGAGAGTGTCATTTTGTTCCAGAACGACGAGGGGCTTGGGACGAGATACAACTAGATTATTCTCGCAAAGGTACAACGTTCTTACTTCATAGCTGGAGCCTGCAAGGCTATGGCCAGCTTGGAGTCATTTTACCACCTTCATATGCGTATCCGAAAGTAGTAAAGCAAGACCGGTTCAAGAGTGCTATTCGGCGGACACTGATGGCGCAACGCATGTCCAAGGTGTTGGGTGCGGACCAGCACAAGAAGCTCTTAGACGAAGCAGAAGCGGACTTGTCTAAGTGGAGGGTACAGGTGCGGGAAAGCGACGGATTGCAAAGCCAACTCGGGCATGTATATTATGCTGCCTAAGTAGCTCGTCCAGTAAGAAAAAAACTAAATGGACTGGCATACCCCTTGTGCACCCCTCGTAGTCGACAACCAAAATTCACAACTCAAGATATAATAAGGGACTGTGCACGCAAATGTCGTCTCTAACATGATCTTGAAACCTCCGATCATCGGCGCGGTGTTCCAAAGGACGACGATGTTGAAGCGTCTTCTAGGCGACCAAGTGCCTCGGTTCTGCGAGGAAAGTCGCCGAAGTTGAACTTTCACAAGCTTGCGTCAGCTGCGAGCGGATCCCGGTCTCTGGATTCTGATGCCTCACAAGGTATTAGTGGTCTATTTAGTGGAAGTTTCACGGCAATGAAAGCGGCAAAACAACTAAAGCGCAGCGCAAGCGCGGCTTCAAGCAGGCGCGGAAGCGACGCGTCGGACCCTGGTTGCACACCGGCTAAAAAAGTTATGACTGGTTTCACTGTCTTGTTCTCTCTTTGAGTTGTGTGTTCGAAAGGTCGAGCCGAAATTACTGGGTAGTTTCAACGTCAACTATCCATTGGTAGACAACATTTCAGCCAGGTCGTTTCTGTCTTCATTGTTGCTGTGTCCCAGAAGCGCCGTGTCCTAAATGCGGAGGCACGGGCGGCAGAAGTTCCAGGTTTGGCGCCTACCGAATCGTGGCGCATGAAGGAGTGGGGTAAGCGAACACGTGCGGTTCAGGCTACTGAGTTTTTAAGGGCCGAGTTCCTACGTCGGCGTACCGAAAACCTGAAGCTGAAGCGCGAGGTACTGAAGATTCTACTGCGCTTTTCCATTTTGATTTCCTTCTAGATACGTAATTTCCTTGCGCTCACCAGTTAAGACCTTTCTGCATCATGATCAATGCTTTGAAAATACATGAAAGAGAGAGAGCACAGATTACCGGAATGGCGTACCCATCATTCTCCTAACATCTCATTAGCGACAAAGCGCCATAAATCTGACGTCTTTGGAAGAGCGGGCTGCAAAAAAGCGCGTACGCGAGGAAGGTACGCAAAATAACAAAGAACGGCGCATAGACGAAGCACGCAAGTCAATCATAACCGGTTCAAGTGGTGTTTTCTCTTCGCTTTTCGGAGGTGGCACCTGAAGATGTAGCCACCACGTACGCTGGCGTCGAGAGTCATGTCATACTAACAGTTATCAATCACGAAATGTCACACTCTTAGTCTGCTACATGTCAAGAACACCCGAAAAACTACTTTGCTAGCAAATAGAATACATGTTACTAGATTACAATTGCAATCTACTACCTGATTATGCCTACTGAATACTTGTTACGCTTAATTGGATCACCTATTTGAAAGTACTGTAAAATCATGAAGCTGGTGATATCAATGATTCCTTTTCCGTTGGTTACTTGCGCAATGCTTGCGTCGGCGCTCGAGGTTGGACTGCTACAGGATGAACAGACGATGCAAGTACTGCGTGTGGTCAACAAATAAAAGTCGTGGACCACCACGTCTTTGATTCAAGAAACGAGAAGATCTAAGCTTCTTCAGCAGGAGCATCGGCTTCGCTCGACCCAGTCTCTCTGTAGCCCTCCCGGTGTCCTTTTGTGCGAATATAGACAGTAAAAAAAAGTACTGAAAATACTGTCGAGATAGACGACTAATTCTTCTGTCCTTGCGTAAACTGGTTTGCAATTACGAAATGCCTACAATAATGTCAAAAAAGAGTCCTGCTTCAGAATTCTAACAAAGGATCAGGAAATGTGAGACACTGCCATGATTGAGTCTGACTTGTGTAGGAAGATGCGAAGATGTCGCTTTCTAGATTTTGTCCGGAAGCTGACTTTTACCGTGGGAAGTACCATTGTCGATTCTTCGATTGTTGTAAACGAGTCCGCGTCGCGAAAGTCAAACGCGCTGACTCCCGATGTTGTTGTGGAACCTACTTCCCCGGCTGAAGAGGGCCCAGGGCCCGCGCAGCCGTCGCAGCAGCCACAAGAAGATCAGGCTCAGGAAGTCGTGCGATCGCAGTCGAGCAAGAGCTTGTGGATTTTTGCGGATGCTGGTGGCCTTGCGCCGCATGCGATGGACGTCGACGACGATGTAGCTGTTTCGCTTCTTGTGTCTCAAGAGAAATACCGAATTGCAGGCATTACGGCGACGTACGGAAACGCACCTACGAGAGTGTGCTACGAGAATTTGAAAATTCTTCTTCATCGCCTAGAGGCTGCCCGAAAGCCGATGGGGATCCATTCCCGTAGACGTATCAACGACGAGGGAAGAACGCAGAAGCATGTACCCACCTTGCCAGAAATTCTCTATCGCGCAGATGAGTGCGCTCTGCCATTGCTGCCTGGCCTCTGTCGCGACTTCGGAGAAGAGGAGGCCGATGTTGAGAACACGAGCGATCGAGCATTCCTGCAACACCTACAAGCAAGCGACGCAAAAAGTGTAATAGTTGTTATCCTCGGCCCGACATCAGCGTTAACTGCCGCATTGCGTCGGGGCTCGCGGATGTCTTCGACATCTTCAACCAGCAAGTTCCAGATGCTGCACCTTTCGAAGATCGACTCTGTGCATTTCGTTGGCGGTAGCTTAGTTCCTGTGCATGAGCGGGATTTAGTGGAAGAGCACGTTTCTCTATTCTACCATTTAGGGGAAAGCCGTGCCTTTCTGGAGGACTTTTTGCATGGCATGCCGACGGTGAGGAAAGTGATGTATACGAGTCAGACACTAAACGAGGTGCAAGTTTACGATAAAGAACTCCTCTCAAGAATCGACTGCGGAGGCCAGCAGGCACGGAGACGCCCTAGTGTACTTCAATGCCAAAAGTCACCATCCACCGCATGCTCCAGTTCGAAGAAGTGTCTAGAAGAGGACATGTTCGACAACGAGGATGGCACGACAGGAGGTCGGGAAAATAGCACAGCACCTGTCCGAAGAAGATGTCGTGAGGATGCTGATGACTACCGAGTTGTGCAGGAAGATGCAGAAGTCCAAGAGGACCACGCAGAACATACAAGAGGAGTAGAGCTAACAACATCTCCAGACGAAGACAACTTGAACGCACCATATGATGAAGCCAAAAGGTCTCCTGCGACTCCATTTCAGTCCTATCTGTGCCCTTACGTTCCGACTCTGCTGCACGAGGCGGCAAAAGAGCGGTGGAAACCGATCTTTGGTCAAACTGGACAACTTTTTGACCTCGGAGTCGTTTTCGGCGTGCTCCATCCCGAAATCTTTGCAAAGTATCAACCTGCAGTCGTAGATGGCTTGTGGCCCTTTCGCATGCGAATTCTAGATAGCGTCGCGAGAAAGAACGCTGACATAATTTTTAGAGAAGACAGAGAGATTTATGGTGGCACGGGCAAGCAAGACGGCGTGACAAGTTTTGGAGTAGATGACAGAGAAAAGAGTGGTGCTGATCATCTGGAAGTAGTAGAGCAAGATGATCATGGCAAGAGCGACTCCAACGCTCTCTGGGTACCATCGCAGGCTAACAAATTTCTGTTCCGCGCACTCTTTCACGGCAGCATTCTCTTTCAAGACGACAGTGCATGTGAAGAAAGGAATGAAACGACCTGCGATCATGGTGGAGAGACGCGAAGAAGCATGGATAGTACACAACGAATGATGTTGAAACAGAAGATTAAAAAGATCCTCATTCCAACGGTTTATATTGCGAGAAATAGTAGCACGCGAGACGCAGCGCACGCCAGCGCCGGTGTTTTTTCGGAAAAGACAGCGACAAATGAGTATACTCGATCAACAGTAATGCCGTCTCCACTCCCACCTTTTGCTGTCCTTCAAAACGGATGCAGTTTCAACCTAATATTGCACTATCTTTGGCGACCGGTTTCAGCAGTCGTCCGGAATATCAGAGCGGACTGGATTGTCCTAATTAACTTGCGATCTATTTTGTTCTTAGAAGTGATGTTTTTGTCGCTGATGGTTCCACTTTTGTTGCGATTTGTCATTAGACAAATGGCCAACTACCCGTTCTTGTCGACGGTAAAGACGTAGAAAATAATCAATATCTCGTTGATTCAAGAAGTAGGGTTGGTCCCCTCGGGGACATAATCACGTCGCAAGAATACCACAGTATCGCTAGCCGCTTGTCAAGCAACTAACGAGTCACGCCAAGAATCAGAGGGCATGGGAGGTTTCTCGATTTCGTGCCGTCTATCGTTTTTGATGCACACATATTTCCTTCTGCTCCTCAGTACGTTTTCATTGAAATAACATTGATTCATTGTAAAAAACAATGTTTTCTCGTGCTTCTAATTTTATGATATTACTCAGCGCTGCGGATTAGTATTATGCATCTGTATCCTTTGTGTCATGTTCATCGATTACTCCTTAGAAAGTAACTTGAAGGGGTTCGTTGAAGCCGATTCTTATCACGCTTGATTTCCTTTTGACCATTCTCTATGATAGGAATAGAGGGGTTTTCGTGACTGTGTCTCCTGAAAGGAGTCTTTTCTTGACACAACAACTGTTTCATTCGCTATCGCGGATGCGTCAAAGATGTTGCGTTTGTAAAATCATAATGGGAAGCTGCTTCAGTGCGACCGGAGCAATATTTTAAGTCACGAACATGATGCTGAGCGTGGTTCCGTCGTGTATGAAATTCAGAGGCAATCAAGGGGGTACGCAAGCTGAACAAAGCTACAACTTTTTGATGCTAAGAACCTACACCTCTGGCCCATCTGGTTTCCTCTCGCTTGTGAAAGAAAACACTCCGAATGCTCGTATTTGTTCTTTTGTTTCCTTCCCTTTTAAAGACTTAATGTTGTTGGTCGAATCAGTTTCGGCGTTTTCATAGTCGTGAGCGCTCACCTCTCCGAGGCGGGCATGCCGAGCGTGGCCGCGTCTCGCATAGCGGTCTGTTGTCTATGATATTTTGCGTGTAGTCGTTTACTCACCAGGGGCAATCAAGAGTTGTTTGGCGACAGATGGCCAGCCGTTCTGGAGGCATGGCCCGTGCAAGATCGCAAGCCAGGGACCTTCTAACTCTAATATATGGGTTGGCCGTTGCCATGAGCAGCTCGAGGAGAGCATTACAAGGTGCCGGATGTATGATATAAAGTCTCTGCGACCTACGACTCGGCGAAACAGCTGTGAGGCGGCGGAGAACGAGGAGCCGGCGAAGAAGTCGCAGACAGAGGCCGCCACTTGTTTAATCCACCTTGAAACGCAATTTTGGAATGAGTATACTCTATGTATGAGCGTGTCGTCAGAGATGAGTACTCGGACTGAAGAATTCCGAGAATTTATCTGTGCTTCAAAGCGAGAACGTGGTTTAAGATTTGTCTCTGAGAGTGAGAAATGTGTTTGAATATCTGTCCCTCGGAGTGTGGAGTGTGTTTTAGTATCTGTCTCTGAGAACTGCGAAAAGCGTAATTTAAGCTCTGTCCTGAGCGAGCTAATCTCGTGGTATCTGTACGATGGATACAGCCTGTAATATCAGAAATCACCTGCGGTGCGCGAATTATGGAAGTCTTTCTGATTTCTGAAGTAGGTAATTCTGGTTCTGGCAGTATTGAGCAAGTCCTCTTAAAGTGTCTGCGCATAACGAAAAAACAGCGAAACTTTCATCCCGTGCAAGATTTTCGAACTTTATTTTCCCGCTTTTGTGTGCTTGTACAATATTCCTGAATTTTTATTTTTCAACTACAGCATGAGCAAGTGTCGTGTGTGAGTTCTGCTTGTGCTTGATAGGTTTTCATAGCTTTCCCCGCGTTTTCTTGAAATTCGCCAGCGCGTCTGATATTATCACGAATTCGTCGCTATCTTGTCCTGCGTACAAATGAGGTCTCTTTGAGGTATTTGAAGAAAGTTGTTGGCTCTAATATCGAATTCGGTTTTTTTTTGTGGTCGGATAACAAACTGAGTGATATCGTGTGATGATTTCTTATACTTTCTCCATCTATATACAGACATCATGACGAGTAATGGTACCGTAGGTCCTCCTGCGGCCGCGCCAGCAGTGCGAGTGTCCACGAGGTATGCGGCCAAGTCGGCGAAGGAGAAGGTCCATCATAAGCGCGTGACACTAGGAACCAGTGAGAAATCAGGAAAAAGTCGCCAACTCCCGGAGCAGGACCGTGTAACAAACACGGCGATTTATGTAGCTCTCCGCGTGCGACCGTTCAACACGCGAGAATTGGAGCACGTTGTTGAAGAGAATTTCTACACAGGCCCCGAGCGGCGCATTGTAACTTGTGAGTTTCAGACTCCAGCAGAAGGGTCGGGAAAGCAGGACATAAGCAAGACGCAGCTCGTGCTGTTGCAACCGGCCACGGGGCGCAGCTCGGAGTTCGCCGGTTTTGATACGCTTCTTGATAGCAGTGTGGATCCGGATGATCCTTTTCACTGTAACCAGCGCACTTGCTACGAGCGGTTGGGCCTGCCGCTCCTCAAGCAAGTGTTTCGTGGCTACTCAACCTCTCTTTTCGCTTACGGCCAAACGGGGAGTGGCAAGACGACCAGCGTGATGGGGGGAAGCGTGCGGGAAACCGAGCAGTGGGGCATTTATGAAACTAAAGCATTAGTAGAGACAATAAAAACGTCAGCTCTTCGCTTCTCCTGCGTTAATAACTAATTAATTTGATGCTAAATGGAAAGTCCAGTCGCTGATCATTTACTTTTATCCCGCCATACCCATTTAATATGGCACACTCATTTGAGAGTGAACAGACCGTTTTGGTAGCTACTGACATACGGTTACGGGGCTACCAACTTTCATTTGATGGTGCTGGGTACGGGTCTAGTATTAGTATGAGAGAGTAGTACTAGTATCCGCCACTATCGCTAGATAGGCACCGAGTCACCTTTTCTAAAGCCTTATTCCGCGGTTACTGGAGGACCTCTTTATTCGCCTGCGAGAGCTAGAAGAGCGCGATCCGAGGGCTGCCCCCAGGGATTCTCATGGGAGTTTTCCTCCGGGGACGAGTGCAGTGGTGAAGTGCAGCGTGATTGAAGTGTACAATGAGCGGCTGCGGGACCTTTTGCATCCTGCGGCCGCCGGGGGCGGAGCGCCTAAGATTGACGTGCGATGCCACCCTCAGCTGGGCAACTACGTCCCAGGGCTCACGCATGAGCTTGTGGAGAGCGCGGAGGCGGCGACGCGGTCTGTGGAATTCGCGCGCGCGCATCAAACAGTGGCGAGCACGCAGATGAACGCGAAGAGCAGTCGCGCACACACGCTTTTCTTGTTCAGTCTCGACTGGCACACTTCGCAGGCCACGCGCAATTCGGCCGCAATGCGCAAGAGCCGCAACAGCATGACAGCTGCGGTCTCCACAACGATCTGGATCGTAGATTTAGCCGGACGCGAGAACGAGAAAACGACTTTGGCAAGGGGCGAGCGATTAGTAGAGCTGGGATACATCAACAAAAGTCTCTTCCACCTCTCAACCTGCATTCAGGCGCTGGGTCGGGCAGCAAAGCACAGTCCGGATTATCCGAAATTAGGTCAAAAGTCCTCTAGCGCGAAAACGGGTAGCAAGGGTGGCAGTGCGCCACCCCATCCTCCGACGTCAGGTGGCTACGAAGGGCGCGCGAATTTCCGTAACTCTAAAGTGACCATGCTACTGCAAAACGCGCTGAGCGGGAATTCCCGGACCTTTATGTTAGGTACGCTGACGCCCGCGGAAAGCGGGTACGACGAAAACCTGGTGACGCTGCGGTTTGCAGCCACGGTGAAGAACATTCGCACCCACGCGAGTCGCACGGAGACGGTAAATAAGGATGCAACCGTGCGCGCGTTGGAGCAGGAAGTGGCGGAACTGCGCGCAGATCTTGCACAACAGCGCAAGTTTGCCGGTACAGACCAGGAGGTTGCCGTCTTGCACGAGTCCTTGGACGCCGCAGAGGCGGCACTCGCACAGCGTAATGAGAGTTTCGAGGCACTGGAAAAACGCGCGAAGGAATTGCAACATGAACGGAGTCGGGCCTTGTGGCGACTGGGAATGAACGCACACGCGCTCGACATCACTGGAATTGGACATTCTCATAGGCACAGTGTCGATCACGATTCAAAGAGTGTAACGCAGTCCCAGTTGCGTCCGATCATAGGAGGAGCAGCGGAGCAAGCCAGTGTTTTCTCTGCGACAATGCCTGTGGCCCCGTGGGTGCCGCAACCCCCGCTGTTGCGGTCGGAGCATGCCGATCCCAGCCGCTGTGGGGTCTTGCAGTACTCACTCGCGCGTATGCGTTCTTTCTACTTCGGGGACAGTTTAGAGGCGTGTCAGACGGAGGCGAAGCGCAGGGACGAGTTCGAGGTGGTCGCTGGTAACAAGGACGCGCAGCAGGGCCCACCAGGCAGCGCCGAGGGGCTAAGCAATTGCGCGGAGTTGCGCGGTCTCGGCATGGCGCCGACAACGGTGAGGGTTGCGCGGTGTGTGGATCAAGGAGAAAGCCGGAGTGCGGTAGAGTTGACAAGTTCCTGTTGCACCATGGACCTTGCTTGCGGTGACAGAAAAACAGAGGTTTCCACCTCCCTCGTCACCGTTACGCGGCTGGACGAGCGCGCTGAAGTCAGGGTGAACAATTTGTACTTGGCAGTGAATGAGGAAAGTGAGCCCTTGAAGCACGGGGACAAGATCACGCTGGGTCGGAGCTACGTATTCCGCGTGTACTTGGACAACACAACCCCGTTTGCGGAAGCCGAGATGACGCACACGCCGCGCGGACGGCGCAGCATGTTCGCCACAGCGGAGGAAACGGCTTCGGTTCTGGAAAAGTTAATGGGCGCCAAAGCGTTTGGGGATACGTATCTACTGCATCAGGCAAAGCACTTTGTTAGCACGTTGCGCAAGATGAGTATTGACCACGAAGAGAAGGTCCGCAAATACCTGTACGAGGCAGTCAAGGTGCACTCTCTTGTCGCTGAGGCGCAGGAAATCACCGATTTGATGCGTCCCAATGAGCGGCTGCAGTTCGCGCTCGTGCACAGCGCACCCGTAGTCTACTTCGGCTTTCCGGAGGAGTCCTTTCTCCCCGGTTTGTGTGTCCGCGTTGCGCGCAAGGTCACGAAGCCCGAGCATAAGTGGCGGCGAAGCTCGAGCTTACACTTGGCAGCCCGAGGGGAGCACCTGTCCGAAAACCTCACGGCGCCGCTCAATTTCGAGCACCACCACCACAGGCGTGATTCAAAAGCCGAGTTGATGCCAGAGACCCTCTATGTTTGGACGGTATCTAAATTTGTGGCTCGTCTAGACATGATGCGCGACCTCTACCACACATGGCAGCAGCACCGTGAGGTCTCGGTCGATCTCACGACGGACCCTTGGGTTGAAGCTGGGCCGGTTGAAATCGAATTCTGGTTGGAGAAACATGCCGCACCGCTGAGGGCACGCGTCGAAGGTACATATTTGAGTGTTACAACAACATTTACCCAGGAGCGGTATGTCAGGAACCAAAGCTAGACTGTCCTTAGTACATCGTTCTTTGATAAATTTTCCGTACTAATTGCTCATCATCACGCTCCTATGCTGGTTTTATCAAGTGTCGGTGTTTATGAATATGGCCATGGCACCTGCTCAGAAGTTCCAAAATAGATCACGTAACATTTGCAACAGAGCTCGAGCAGAAAAGCGCAGGTCAGGATGGAGCACCCAGATCGGAGAGTCAGCAGGCAAGTGTTACTGCGCTGCAGATACGGTCTTCTACGCCGAAGGAGTTGAGCGTTGTAGAAATTGAAACGGAACCGATTCGGGAGGCTCCGCGCTTACCCAGTGGTGCTGAGCCGCAGATCAATCCGCGAATGCTCACGAGCAGTGTTGAGCCGCAAAAACTACATGAAGATGCAGTTGATGACAGCGCAGAGGCTATAGCGGATTTGAAGCGGCAGCTGGCCGAGAAAGAGGCGGCGCTCAAGAGCGAGGTAGAAGCAACGGAAGCTCTGAAGAGAGCACTAGATGAAACCAAGAAGCTTCTGGGGGGCGCCGTGGACAGTACGGGTGATGCCTTGAGGGCTGAAGCTGAAGCGCTGCAGGCGGCGTTGAAGCGCGAGGCCGACTTGAGGAGCACAGTAGAGCGGGAGAGGGAAGCGAAAGAAGAGGCCAAGCAGGCTTTAGAGGATGACATCAAACAGAGGGAGCAACTTCGCTTGCTCCTGGAGGGCCAGGAGCAACGGCAAAAAACGGAGAAAGCGGCTCTGGAGAGAGAAAACACTAGGATGAAAAAGGAAAACGACAAATTGACCAAAGAAAAGGCGCGTCTTGTGGCTGAAAACGAGCGGCTGGTACGTGAGAAGCGCGATGCTTCTCAACTCCGGCGTAGTGAACACGGAGCCAGTGCGCAGCTTCTTCGATGTATGGAGCTCTCGAAAGCGAATCAGAAAATGCTGGATGAGTTTCTACACAATGAAGTACCCGAGGCGGAGGTCAGCCAAAAGATGGAAGTAGACCTTAATGCCAACAGCGACGAGCAACGGAGAACCAGGGGGACCACGTCAAGGAAGAGTGCATCTCGTATAACAACGAGTCCAAAAGAACAGAGTACTCAAAAAACGAGCCCGAAAGAGCATAGTACTCGCGCAACGAGCCCAAAGCAAAAAAATCGAACCACGGGCGCAGACCAAAGTATTCGAATTACGAGTCCGAAGCAGAGTACTCGAACCAGCGATGCGAACCAGGGCACTCGAATCACGGGCGCGGAGCAAAGAATTCGAACATCGAAGGCGAAGCAAAGTACGCGAACAACCAACGCAGATCAGAGTACCCGAATGGCGAGCCCGCAGAGTCAAAATCGAGTATAGCACGTGTTACCTCACCAAACGCTTTCCTTGTCTTTTACCCTATTCGACGATAAACCAAGAGTTCATGCGAGCCCGAGCTAAAAATTTGCCATGTTGCTTTGCGTCTAGAGTAGACTGAGAGTTGCAGAGTCAAAGCTGTAAACTATGATGGAGAGAACGAGAGCAAAAATGTGAGCCCGCAATTTTCAGATCCTCCCCAGATGTCTCTATGTTGAAGAAACTGTGCTTGCATTTTCCTGTGGCAAAAACTATGTCCTGCTTGCAGCAAAGCGCAGTTGATATTGAGGCTGGCACAGGCATCACTTCGATACGGATATGAACTACGTTTTTTTCCCCTCCGATCGTAGACATGGACATTGCTTTTGCTGCTGGTCGGCCTTCACCGAGGATCGGGATTTCCAAGAGACTGGACTTGTTCAGCTTGTTCCATGGGCACTCAAATGTATGATAGTTCAAGCAGTGCTGAGACTTCGTTTCTAGTGAATCAGGCAAAGTGGCTTTTTACTTGCTTGACGTCAGAGGAGAGCGCGGTACCAAGTAACGAATTCTGTGATAATTGGCCCTAGTCAGTGCCCTCAACACGCGTTTTTCTGACAATTGTCTGTGACGAGATCTGCTTGAGTCTTGGCCAGTTGAATCTGTTGTGCGAGTAAGTTGAGAGAATGAGCCCCTGAAGACACCATCAAGCTGGGTGGCTATCGGTGAAGTCTGACACGCGCGCCGTCTGTCATAGAGAGAGAGAGAGAGAGGAAGAGACTCAGTCGAGAGTGAGAGTCTCAATACTTATCCGAATTATTCCCGCCATCTGTGTTCCCTGAGGTTGAGAGGATCTATCGGTTCAGAGTGGTTTGAGATACATATTGCTAAGTAGGTTTTCTCCACTTTGTAGTGTGTGAGGACTGTCGTGCGTGACGAAGATCCGAACGACTGCGTGGAGAGAATTGTCGAATTGCGACTAATCTGTGTGACGCTCTTTCCGTGCCTTATAATTATATCTTCATGCTTAACTGGTTAAAGCCAAGCGAAGCACTTAAGGGTTTGTGTATGGTAAGCTAAAGTTTGATTGTCATCCGAAATGACGCGCAGAATCTGTTATCCCACCTTCATGTAGTACTTTACCCGCCCTTAGAAGTCTACTCGCTTCTTCATTTCGCTCCAATTTTTCGTCCAAAAAAAGACCGGTCTGTTCTTTCCTTCCTTTGTGCTAGGAAAGTTCCTTAGTTAACAGAGGAGACGCAGAAAGAAATTCTTATCTGATTATGATTTTCCTTCACTCTGTTTCGCTAGAGAGTGGTCTTCAGCGTAAGAGGACGACGATATCCATGATAAAGATAATTTAGAGATTGAGAAACTTCGGCGTTCTTATCTGAGCATCATCTATATTTGCTTCTGTTTCGAACCAACTCGCTCTTTTGGAGCGAATTGAGTATCTGACTTTATCCTTGTTTGATGTGGGAGTTCATTATTTGGATTTTCCTTTTCGATCAGTATTATCTTCCTGAAGTCATTTCATCGATTTGTTAATATCGTTAATTGTCTCGGTCTCCAAGAGCAGATCATTTAGCTATCTCGCAGGTTCTTTTTTGCTCTCCGCGATCATGGCAGCCAAAGCTCCAGAAGAAGCGGCGAAGGGCAATGCGTCTATCTACGTCGCGTTGCGTATTCGGCCTTTCGTACCTCGCGAGCAGCTTGCGCATGAAACAAGAGTGCTGAACTGCTCTAATGGGCAGCTACAGTTGCAGAATCCTCATGGTGGGCAAGTCAGCGGGTTTACGGGCTTCGACGAGGTCATGGACTCTAGCGTGGATTCCAGCGATCCTTACTACGCGGATCAAAAACTGGTAAATTTGTAGATATTTCTCTATCGATGTAGTTAATTTACTAGAAGAACTGCGTCGATCCAAAGCTGCATTTACTCAACAATTTCGAATAAAGTCTAATCATGAGACGATGTTACGTCAGAATCTACCACGTCGACGTCGTTCATGTACGACAGAAAGACTATTGATGCGTCATTTGCTCGCTTATCACTCGCTCACTAGACCGGATAATGTCACTCTTTTTTCGAAGTTCGGTAGCAGGTTTTGTTTGAATGAAATAAAGGCTACTTCTTAAAAGCATCAGGAAATGAACTAGCGCATTCGAGTTCCAATGTATCATTACTGAGGACGGAATCACTGTTTGACCTTTTCGATTTTTCCTCCAGGGCAGGATGAACAGCGTCGTGGGATCTGTACTACCAAACTCACTCCGTCTCATGCATTGTGCCATAGATTGAAAGTAAGACAGCAGAAGGGGAGCCACGACGCATGAAGCATAGCCGACTGTCGTGATTTATTGCCTTGTTATGCAATATGTTGCGCCCTTAGAAGTTATTCCTATCACATTTCGTCTGGCATTTAGTATTCCCACTTGCATCATACTCAGGTGTACGAAAAAGTCGGGACCCGTATTCTAAACCAAGTGCTGGACGGATACAGCACGGCGCTTTTTGCCTATGGGCAAACCGGGAGCGGCAAAACCACGAGTATCATGGGCGACGTAGATTAAGGCTCGAAGTAGAAGAACTCTATAATTTTATTTTCAAGGCATATAATCTTGCTTGGTGTGTCTCTAGCTATCGATGTGATAAATTGTCTGAGAGAGTGTGATAAAAAGAGACTGGACCGACCTCCAAGATTCTGTGTTACGAAAGGTGGATTTCTAGAGTACACAATTTCTAATGTGAGGACGATGAGCAGTTGGGCATTCTTCCTCGTTTACTGCGCGCGCTTTTCGAAGAAACTAAGAGCGACTCGAGCCGAGTGGTGAAATGCAGTGTGCTTGAGGTGTATAACGAAAGACTACGCGACTTGTTGATCCCAAGGGGGGACGGGAGCAAGGAGCCAGCAAAGCTTGACATCAGATGCCATCCAGAACTGGGGAACTACGTACCTGGCTTAACTTATGGCGCAAAAACATGTCAATAATTGTATGTTCGACCTAGAAACTAGTAATACTTCAATAAAACAGGAGCTTCTTTTCAATGGCAAAAGAATGTTATTGGTAAATACCGCCCCAAGAATATGATGTCTAGCATAAATCACGTTGAGAGCGCACAGCGCATTTCTGACATGATAGAAATGAGTGGTACAACAATAAGACCGATTAGCCTTTTCCACTTGGGTTTGGTCAAAAAAAGTGCAAATCTGTTTTCATCCTTAACTGGATTTGATTTTTCACAGCGAGATTGGGTACATCAATCAATCAATAGCAAGTCTGGGAAAAAGACAAGCTCTAACTCGGGCAGGAACTCATCGGGGGAGTGAAGGATGCAACTCGCTGCATCGACTTCGCGCGTTTGAATCAGACTGTCGCTGCTACGCAAATGAACGCCAAGAGTAGTCGTGCGCACACGTTGTTCAACTTTATTATGGAGCGGAATGCCGGAGCGAAAGCCGCACCCGTGACGAAGATCACCACGACTTGGTTCGTGGATTTGGCAGGGCGTGAGAACGAAAAGACCACACTGGCGCGTGGAGAGCGGCTCGTGGAACTCGGCTTCATCAACAAAAGTCTCTTCCACCTGTCGAACTGCATCCAGGCTCTTGGTCAGGCAAGCAAAGGAAGCGCGAACTACCCAAAAATTAAGGGGTATCAGGCCTTCGAAGGCAAGGTACTAGAAATGACTTTTAGCTGTTATTTGCCAACGAAATGAACAATTGTTGTCGTTCAGGTTCTGCTAGATCCTAAGCAGTGATCTGTTTGTGTCACAAGATGAGGGTTGTTCACTGCCCTCGCTAGGACATGCGGAAATGACCCTCCTCGAGGCTAGAGTATCACCACAGCGTCATGTAGAAGTCGAATCCTCTGTATGCTCCCTATTTAATGAAGACGGTATCATCTTTTCAATGGTTCTCATGTCGCCGTGATGCTTATTTATCATCTTCATCGTATTATACGTATTTATGATAAATAGCGTATGTTTAGCACAGCGACATCATTCCACTTACTTAGGTGAATTTCCGGAACTCGAAGATCACCCTTCTGCTGCAGGAAGCACTAAGTGGCAACTCGAGAACTTTTATGCTTGGGACGCTTTCCCCTGCCACCTCGGCTTTCGATGAGAACGCGGTCACTCTTCGATTCGCGGCAACCGTAAAAAACATCAAAACACAGGCCACCAAAAAACAAGACAAGGGGGAAGTAGCCGTCGCTGCATTGCAAGAGGAGGTAGAACGGTTGCGGGCGCGCTTAGTCGAAGCTCAAAAAAACAACTCTGGTACCCCTTTTTTCTGTATCCGCAAATAGAATCATTAAATATATGATACTGAATGAATCAGTATCACTGGCAAGGATTGGGAATCGATGGGTTGCTAACGATACCTCATTGAGATGACCGCTATCATAGAGGATAATATTTTTTGGACAAACGACGAGTCTTTTAGGTCTGATCTTTTTTCGGTTTTTGTTTTTTCTAGTTAGGTCTGCTCCACCGAATTTCTTGGCAAAAAGATTTGTTTGAAGGCTGTTTTGCTTACATTTAATTCTGTATGGGCGTTCGTTCCGTGTTGCATGGTAGAAGATTTGAGTGCTAGCGCGAAAACGGGTATTTAATAACTGTTTGCTGACAGTAGAAGTATGGGAAAACGTTCCCTCTCTCTCTCTCTCTCTGAAACGCCATGATGATGAAGCTTCTAGTGTTTACAGTGAGAACTAACTTGATGATGATGAATTATCGGAAAGTGATACATAAATTACAGAAATTCGTGTGACGGAGGACCTGAGCTGTCTGCACGAAAGTTTGGAAGCAGCCGAGGAAGCTTTGCAGCAGAAGACGAAGAGTGTGGAGGAGTTGAAGCTTCAGACGGACCGGTTGAAAAAAAGGCAGGTTGCGATGATGCTCCGCCTCGGCGTCGCGAAGGACCGCGCGAATCGGTTGGCGCAAAGGAACAATCGGCTGCCGTTTGTGAGCAGCGAGCACGCGGACGCAAGCCGGTGCGGCGCTTTAGAATACTCACTGGCTCACCTGGACTGCTGGTACTTTGGAGATTCGCGTGCCGCCTGCGAGGCGGAGGCGCGCAAGCAGGACGAGCTGGCGACCTTCGATGCCGCGCACGAGCACTTGTCTTTTGTCTCCGAAAAATGCACGAACTGTGTTGAGCTTCGGGGCTTCGGAATGGCTCCGCTTACGGCGCGGCTGAGCAAGAAGCACGTGCCTCACCCAAGCAAGTCTCCGGCAGCTGCTAGGCCGTCGTCAAGTAGCGCCATCCCGGAAGAGCGCAGCCTAGCGACGGTAGGTAATGCGGACTTGCACGTAAAGCCGGAGGAGCCGGTCGGTAGCAAAGAGCTCCGGATCATGCGGTTGCACGAGAAGGCCTGCGTCATGGTGAACAACGTGTCGCTCCGTGTGAACGAGGAGAGCGCGCCGCTGCGGCACGGCGACAAGATCGTGCTGGGAAAGAGCTTCGTCTTCCGCGTCTACATTGACAATGCCGAGATAGTAGGGGACGAGGAAATGACGCACACACCGCGCAACCGGAGAACCATGTATCAAACGCCGGATGAGATGAAAACTGTACTTGCGCAGTTGCTTGGGCCCGAGGACTTTGCGGACACGTTCATGCAGCACCAGGCAAAGCAGTTTCTGAGCGCCTTGCGCAATGTGAGCATTGACCACGAGTCCAAGGTGCGAAAGTACCTCTACGAAGCCGTGAAGCTGCGCGCTTTGGTCGAGGAAGCGCAGGAAATCACAGACAAGATGCGCGCCCAGGACGGTTTGCGCATTGAGCTGGCGCACTGCGGACCCATAGTGTCGTTCGGCTACGCAGAGGCCTTTTTGCCAGTGCCATTAGTGCGTGTGGCGCGCAACGTGTCCGACGCGGCGTGGAAGCGGTGGCGCAAGCAATCCTCGGCGCACGTGAAGGCGAACAGCGAGCACATCTCGGAGAACCTGCACGCCCCACTGGACTTCGACCATCACCACCACGAGGAGCAGCTTGATGCCATCGATGAAACGCTGTTCGTGTGGACGACGTCCAAGTTCCTAGCCAGGTTGGACATGATGCGCGACATCTATCACGCGTGGCAGGAGGGACACGAAGTGGTAGTGGACCTTAAAAACGACCCCTGGGTGGAAGCAGGACCCGTAGAAATCGAGTTTTGGCTCGATAAGCACACAGCGCAGCTTCATCACCAGATAGAAGGTACTTAACCGGCTGGCAGTGCTTTTTGTTGCAGTCTGTCTTGTTTGATCTTATATTTACAAGGGATGGCTGCCTTTGGTTGCGTCCGGGAAATCAATATTGGAACTACTGTAGCCAAATTATCCTTTTGGTTCGCTACTAGTCGTTTTTCGCCTCCGAATAGTCGTCGTTTTATGTAGCATAGTTCCACTGCTGTAAATCGCATATACTTGTTGTTGTTAGGAGGTCTTAGGCTACTCCCTTCAACCAACATGTACTTGTTAGGAAGTAAAGCAGTTTTGCTGACCTCAGGAGTAGAGAGATCTTTCTTTTTCGAAATGAATTGATGCAGATTTGCGGGCACAGGCAACTGAAGTGAAGCAGGGCGAAGAGAAATCAAAATCGAGAGTAGAAGCAATGGAGTCGGAGCGCGATAAGGCCTTGGCGGAGGTGAAAGAAAAGGACGCTCAGATTGCGCGGATGCAGTCTGTTTTCGACAAGGAAACGAAAGAGAAGGCTGAGACCTCTTCCTCGACTGAAAGCAGCTTGCGTGTCGAGCTCGCACGTCTGAGTGTGCTGGTCGAGCAAAAGGACCGCGAGCTCGAGACGCAGCGGCAGCAGCAGTCGGAGGCGGCGTTGCAGAGCGCCAAACAGGCGAGCGTGGAGCGTGCCAACTTTGAGGCTGCCCTGCGCAAAGCCCGCGAGGAGCATACGCAGGAAGTCTCGGACACGCACGAACAGCTGTCGGACAAGTTCGAGACGGAGCGCGCGCGTACCGAGACCGCGCATGAGGTGGAAAAAACGAGTTTGCTCCAACAGGTGGAGGAGCTGAAGCAGCAGGTGGCCGTTGCGCAGCAGCGAAACGACACGGAGCTGCAGCTGGAGCACGAGCGGCTCGCGCAGCTGCAGAACGAGATGAAGGCGGAGCGCGCGGCGCTGGCCGAGCAGACGCGGCGCGAGATGGCTCAGCTGAGAAAGGTGATGGACGAGAAGGAAGCCCGTTTGGACGCGGAGAAAGCCGCGCTGGAGGGCGAGCGCGACAAGTTGTTGGCGGAGAAGGACCAGGCGCTTTCCAGCATGGAGTCGCGGCACGCGGACCGGCTCGCCACGCGCGAAGCAGAGCTTCAGGAGAGAACAAAGCGCATGGAGACGTTGGCGGCCAGCGAGCGCGAGTTGTTGAGCGAGAAATTGAAGCGGGTGGAGCGGGAACGTGATTCCGCACTCGGGGACGCGAATCGCGCAGCAGCTGAACGGGACGCGGCCGTGGCCGAAAAGACGCACTGCGAGGAGCTGCTCCAGCAAGGCCAGGACGGTTCGGCGGCACAGCTGAAACGGTGCATGGAACTCTCGTTGGCGAACCAGAAGCTGCTCGACCAGTTCTTCACGAAGAACTCCGGCGACAAAAGTGGGAAACAGAAAGAGCAACTCATGTCACAACTGTCTAAGGCCATGAGTAATACGAACAATGGCGGACGACCACAATCGAAGGGCAGTAAGTCCTCTGTGCCTAGCACCGGCAAGCCATAGTCTCGACAAAGTTCTACACGCGTCCTGCAGTATGGTCGGGACGGAATCTGCTCTGTTTTCCTGCGGCTGCACGAAGTAGACAACAAAGTAGAAGTAGGACTGGACAGTGCGCAAAAGCGCAAGGAGTTGGAAGATGGACGAGCATCAGTCGTTTTTGTACTGGCGCTCTTCAGGTCTCCGCTTGTAGCTGGAAAAAACACTCCGTCAGGGTAGTACATCTTCAGTTTGATGTCGTATAAACGGGATGAAAGTGAAATGTACATAATCTTCTTTGGTTAGGATTTCGGGCAAGCTCACGAACTTGTAGATTAGTCATTTGGCGCGGGATGACTAGCACTATTGCAGCTTTGTTCTATTGTTTTATTTCAATGTAACCTCCTTTTTTCCAAACACACCAAGAAAACACCTTAGGCCAAAGTAGCAGAGCAACCGCAGCAGACTCGGTTGTTGCAGCTCCTGTTGAACAGTGTCGTGACATCATGAAATATAGGGTTAATAGTACATTGTCTATCTAATCAATGTAATCACGCATGGCTTTTCTGGTCTGATGAGATGATATTTTCTAATGAGAAGTTCAATGATTTCTTCCATAGCGCACCTTCCCGATTTCATCAAAGTCAAAAACCATGTTGCTTCGATGTCCAAAAAGAGTGGTAGTTTCGATATTTTCTCGTTCTCGTGGCTGTGCTCACCTGGAGAAGCATGGGGTCTAGTGCTAGATCGCATTGTATCGGTAATCTCGTTTGGTGAAAATCGGAAGTATTTCGTGTGCAAGGATCAGGCTTGTTTCGCTGTCAGAAAGTAGCAAGTTGTAGAGAGTTTGGTTATGACAAAAATCGAGAAACTCGGCACAGAAAATGTTGAGAGACACAGTGGGAATTAGAAAAGCTTCATCTGTTTTTCAGACACTCGTTGAGAGTTGCAGTTTTGTCGCCTGCACAAAAGCAAAGGGCAATGCATGCATTAGCGGTGGTCATAGTCCCAACTTCTTTCCACAATCCAAAGATCTTCTAGGAACAACTGTAGGCCAATTCTAGAAACAACTGTAGGCCGTTTTGTCAGTCAATATGTCTTAGTCTTGGTAGATATAAATTCAGAACTATTTATTTTTTGCTTCTCAGACAGTAGTCTGAGACTGGTACGAGAACTAAGTTTTCAGGATAAGAAAAAGAAAATATCAAGATTTTGGATCGATACGAAAATATCAACATCTATTGTTGTACTTGTAATAAAGAGAGCAAATTTATTTGTAATTCAAGTCTGGCTTTTTGTTTTTGCCTTCTTATGCATGATGAGTACTCGTACTACTGCTTATTGATGGTATAATGATTTTTGAGAATATACTTCTTCTGTGGATTCATTGATATTTCTTTCTTCTGATTTGTAATGCCTTTCGGAAGCAATAATCTTAAGCCAAGTCATCTGATCAACATGTCGCAACAAGAAAGCGTGACAACGTCGTTCGCTCAGACAAAAGCACCGGGTGGCGCGGAGGATGACGTGAGACTTCGGGTAATTACTTTTGTATCCGTTCATCTCAATCTGTGGACAAGCTAGCTTATTGTCGCACAACTAAACCCATGCATATTTTCCACTCCACATGATGCCTCGACATCATTCTCTTTGTCGTTCTCTTTGTCGTGCATGAAGTTGTAGAGTTTGTTCGCATATGACCAAAACTGACATACAGGATTCGGTGTATGATCCAACGATTGATCGCTGGTTTAAAGCGCGTGCGGAAGAATACAACGCAGACTATGAGGCCCGGAAGAAGAATCTTGACGATGTTAATGTCGCGCGACAGCTGCAGGGGCTCAGTAACAATTATACATCATTCTCAGTCTATGAGTGTTGGGAACCACCTCCTAAAAATTGTAATATCATTACATCCACGAATATACGACTATAACAATTATCACGAAAATTTTTGACATTACGTTTGTAGGCATCATGCAAAAGACATGAAGTTGATGCTTTTCTTCTTTATTTGCTCATCTTGACGTTGCCCACTTATTGACATATCTTAAGCATGAAGTACTCGAGGTTTCCTGTTGACCTTCTTTCATGCATGCAACTCTTTACTCGAACTATGTGTGTGTCGTTTGATTCTGTCCCATACCTATCTAAGCCACAATAAGGTGCAGCGGAAACTACGGCAATAGAGGGTCCTCGCGAGACGGCGAGGCGTTTACTTGAGTTTGCGGATGTAGGAGAAGGCAACCCCTTCGCGGGTCCAGAAGCCCCTTCGCCACCGATACATCGCGGAGTCTTGGTTCAAGATGCTGAGGACAAAATGGGAATAGTGTATTTTTCCTCTATTTTGAACAATTTAGTTTCTGAATATTTCTTCATTTATGCTTCTCGTTTAGAAATCGGTACTTTCTATCTTGTCGTCTTGATTAGGGGAGTCTCCATGGAGTATCCATCTGATGCATGTGCTTTTTATCTGGGACCAATGCGCCACTCCAGTGTAGTACTTCTAGAGCAAATGAATCAGTGGTCGTTTACCTTATCACTGGTAACATCAAAGAGTTGTTTGCTATGTTGACGTCCACATTCTAATCTTGATGAGGGTATGTCTTAAAACAAGTTGAAATTTTGAGTTGCTCTCGTCCCATGTCAGGACCGGCGGCGGAGGAGGTGAGTCTGTCGAATACGTCAAGTGTTTTAAAGGGACACAGCGTGTTGCTTGCGGTGAAGGTGCTGCCAACGGCGACAGGAAGGTGTGTGCAGCTGGTCTGGATGGTATCAGAAGTTTGAATTTCTGATCCCTCAACAGGGACTTTTCATTTGGTCTAGGCAAACCAATCATGTGATCATGATTATCGAAAATGGTGCTCAAAGTACGTCCTTGGTTGAGTAAGTGCGAACTATTTTGAATATGATGGTATAATCTATTTGGATCGTCGCCTTTACTCAGGAAGCAAAGCAAATAAAGTACAGGCTTCGATAATCTTCACTTCTAGTTGGTAGGTACAATGAAAAGTGCGGTGAAGAAGATACTCTTTTAGTCCTGCGGGACGAAATATCTGTATGGAGCAGGGGAGCAGACTGTCTACCAACTGAATACAAAAGATGAAAATATGAGTATCTTTTTGCAACTACTGACAGACGACTACAAATGACTTTGTTTTTGCCACTCACAGAGCCGACAGCGGTAGTCGCTGCAGTTGCTCCGCAGGGAGTTTTCGAGGATATCAGTAAGTCCGATACTGAAGTGGCCTCTCGGAATCCGGGTAGCAGCTCAGAGCAGCCTGAGACGATCATACCGTCAGGAGCCGCCTCGATGACGAGGGTGGAGGAAAATAGATCCGAGCGAGATGAGCATCGGGACAAGCCTGGCGAACCAGACGACAGTCAAAGAGGCTGCGAGAACGGTGAAACCAGCTGTTCTAGACGATCGATCTCACCGCTCCCGGAGACTAGGCGTGACGCTGGAGCAGCATCACCGCAAGCAGAGACTCGAGAAGCCGCTGATGCTAGTAGCAGTAACCAAGCACCAGTAGAGGAGGATGCGGCCGCGGTGTCTGCACTGTCAGGGTGTGACGCGTCCTCATCACTTCATAGTGGCAGTTTTCCAGACGTCGTGAGCGAGAATACTGCGACCGCAGACGCAGGTGCGAGCGCAGTCGTGAAAGACAACGACAATAGAGTGGATGCAGCAGATGAATCGAACAACACTGGGACGGCAGTGGCGCACGACTCGGATACGGTAGTGGCACACGGCACCAGTGCTGCAGTGTTGAAGGAAGCTGGGGCGGCAGTAGCGAAGGACATCGATGCTGCACTGTCGAAGGACACTGTCGCAGTAGTAACCGACGGTACTGATGCTGCTGTATCGAACGACACACTAGAAACCGCACTACCTGACAAAACCGATTTTCCACTATCAAAGGACGCCGGTTCTTCGGCAAGATCGTCAAGCCCACTGGCAGACGAAGCGACCGATTCTTGTCAATCTTCGCTTTCAGCGGCGACTGCGAGGGTAGGCGGAACCGGGGAAACTACAAGCGCGTCAAGTAACTCAGTAGACGGTGTTGGGAAGGAGAGTCCAACCTCCAGTGGCGAGAGCTGCTCAACAGCTGCCGAGGACAGCGCTCCAGAAGACACCTCTCAACGAAATCACAATGAGGATGACCTGCGGGTGAAGAAGACCGCAGAAGGGAAACAAGCGGACGATGGTAGTACGAAATGCGAAGAGCAGAAGCAGAACAACGCCGCGGGAGACTGCCAGGTGCAAGCGGGTTCTACTCCTTCCTCTAGCAGTTCGTCTCCAGCTGACGAAGAAGAAGTGCCTTCAATACCGGACACACAGCGTCCTGTCTCTGCGGATGCACAGAAACTTTCGAGCAGTGAAAGCGTTTCGAGAAGCAGCAGTAGCAGTAGCTCGTCATCAAGCGTCACAACAGGTCCTCGAGCCAGTACGCAAAGCGATGCAAGAACCGGGACGCCAGCGAAGGAACAGCCGTCTAGTGTACCAGTGGCGACTCCAGGCGCGGAAGGGTCTGGAGCGGGTGGTCGAACGATAGAAAAACACGCTTTGACACCGCCAAAAGTTGCTGCGTCTGAAAATACATTATCGAGTCAAGGATCCACTGAGTCTTCACGAGCGGTTGTCTTAGCAGGGCAAGGTACTACTTGTAACTGACGTAGCTGATTTGTCATTGTCTAGTACTAAAAGTACGACTCATCTTGGATTTGAGAACGAAGATGTACTAGGAAATGATCACCGTTTGTCTCATTCGACACTTTCTTGCTTCATGTGAATTCGGCGTCCAATAAATTTTGGACAAGGTTCAGCAACTACCGTGGGACCGCGCCGTGTCGGTTTAATGCAGAGACCGCAGCCAGCAACACAGGCCAAGGAGGGCGGTCTAGGACTTGGAGAATCGCCTGCCAGACAGGGGAAAATCGTGCTGGCTTCGCAGTCGCAAAGTGCATCGAGCGCCAAGGCCGTAGGTTTTGCGGCTCCGCCGAAACCACCGGCAAAGCCACCACAACCTGTGCCACCTTGTGGGGGTCCGAAGCTAGTGCCTGGTGGCGGGCTCCTTCCGGTATTCACATTGAAAATTAGTTGTGTACTATTCATATTCTGATACTGACATTGATTCTGTTGGTACTAGGTGTTCAAAATGTATCTGTTTCGGGACCTGCACATTCGTGTTGTAGGTGGGCAATTCACTACCTTCGTTACGTTTTTAGATTTTGCTGATGAATAAATAGCGTAGATGCAACATTTGACGACCTTCCTTTATCTCTCTTACGATCATCACATTTGCAGCGCGGTTGCGGTCGTGGAGGATGTCCGTCGTGCGACATCCGAATTCCGGAAGGTACGCAGAATCAGGATATTGTATCGGCGTGTCAGCATACTGGCGACGGATTGCTTGTACTGCCGGATGACGGATTGTCAACCGACAAACTGCCAGAGCAGCTCGACCGGAAGCCGCTGGACCCCAGCTCAGCACTGCGGACGACAATAGCGCACCCGCGTTCGCTTCTGGACGAAAAGCGGGATATGCCGAGCTTCGACCCGAAATACGCTGAGCAGTACATGCTATACGCACAACAGTACGGCGCCTACTCACAGCAGTTCGCACTCTACGCACAGTACATTCTTCTTTGTGAAATATATTGTCATTGAATTCGAATGATGGTGTATAATGTACTACTGGCATTCTATTTTTTCGGGAGAAGGTGGGGGTTATTTTTACATTTTGACGTTTTCTGCTGCAGATGATATATCGAATTTGTAACAGCACATCCTCCATGATCTGCAATAAATATATTTATTCCACCAGGTATTGCGCACAGCAAGGCGCAGTTGACGCGGCGAAGCGAGAGTTTGAGCTTCGAAAGAAGCGAGAGGAGGAGGAATTGAAGCGAGTGCAGAAACGTGCAGCCAAAAAGGGTAAGCCTATTCCAAAAGACCCTAAGGAAAATGCGCAAAAGCCGATAATGATCACGCCCTATCGACACAACTGGCAGCTTGCGAGCAATTCACAAGACCCCGACGAGTCCTGGTTCGATCACCTGTGGAACGAGGCATCGCGATTACTCTCCATCGACGCGCGTAGCTGTTCGATGAGTATGTGGTGACGTGTCTTCTTGGACGCGAGAAGCTTTCCGATGAGCATGCACGAGCTTGAACATCCGCCGAATAGCGGGCCGTGTAAAATAATGATTGAAAACTCTGATTCGTCTATGTGGTACAGAAGGCGACACCAGGTTGCATCTCGCTCTTTGATTATATGCTACCGGATTGGACACGAGTAAAGTCGAACGCGAACTATGAATTCTCGGAATTGGAGAGTGTGAAAGCAAGATGTTTTGAACTTGGGGATGAACTTTTTTTTGATGTTTGTTTGTGTCTGTGTAAATCTTCCGAACTTCTTTTGTGAATACATAGAGCGGGGGATAGAACTACCTTCGAGCTTCGATCATTGTCATTGTTTGGTGAAGAAACTAGTACATGCTTTGCGCATAGTGAGCTTTTCGATATTTGAGCACTGGCAGAAGGATTCTAATTTGATGTGAAGGATCCGCAACCCCAGTAGCCAGTCGAAAGAATGCCTGAGGTTGATGATTTGTTTTTGTCTATGCATGATACTTGATTTGCGCAAAAAACGTATCTAATGACTTCTGAACAGTTTTGAAATATATTTCCATGAATTGTAGAAGGAAGATGTTGCTAGTTTGTGGTCATGTGGACGTAATTGTGATTTCTTCCGCAAGACATCGTCATCCAATATGTTTGAGCAGGCGACTCTGTATTCGATCATGTGGTACCGAATTCATGTTTGGAAGTTCAAAGATGGCTGCCCAGCGTCTCTTTTGTGATTGAAATATGACCGCGTCTGGTGAATATGGTATTTCAACCAGCTTACAGTTTGATACTAATTCTTCCAAGAAATGTTCCGCACACAGAGCTTAGATATTGTGATTTTATAATGGCGAAGTTACTGTTAATTTAGCCTAGGCGTAGGTACAGAACATTGGATGCCATTCAATTTGATGTGTAGTTCTTTGGTTCTGTGGAGGTGGTGCGAAATTTATCTTGCTTCGAAGTGGGCGCATCAGCGGCGTGCATCGCTAGCTGCGTGTGCGTCATGTCGGGTTTTTCCTGCTTCACTGGAAAAGTGTTTTCTTATGTTCTGATGTCGTGTGGTAGTCGCGTGAAAATGATAACACGGGAGTCCTACTGACCGTCAAAATCGAGCTGCGAATCATTTTATGCTTGATTAGATAATAAGGTTTCTTAGCGGCTAGAAATCGTCAGGGAAATGTTGGCAAGCTGCCGAATAGCTTCGAGACATCACATCAGTTTTATTCGTCTTGACCTGTGCAAAGCGCTTGTGACTAAGATTGACATAATCTGGGCCCATTGCCTTCTTTTCGTTGAAATTTCTTGGCTAGTAGGGTTTCCGCAAGTAAGTGATTGACGAGCGCGACGTCGGTGAAGGCGCTACTATTGCTAAATAGTCGGTGTATCCTTTTGGTGTGAAGTAGGCGGACCAGTAAGCATGCCGCCGATCGCTGAGTTATCTGATCATGTTGAAGCAGCAACGTCGGTGTCGGGTGCGCCATCGTCCGAGGCGGAGAGTTTGCTTTCTGTCCATGAAGACACATCACGACAACAGCCAGGCAAACTGACGAGGTTGGGGCGCAATCTCAGTAACATGAAGTCTCGTGTTTTTACAAAATTCAGGAAGGGCGGGGCGGCGGCTTTGCGTGGTGTTTCACAATTGGTGGATGGCGGGAAGGCGGCTGTGGCTAACCTAGCTGGTAGTTTTAGTTATAGCAGTACATCGAATCGGATTCTCGACTTCTTAATCAATAATAAGAATGCCGGCCTTTTCTCCGGTGATACAGAAAGCGGGAAGGAACAGATACTGGATCCGGAGCTTGTATACAGTTATCTGGAAAAAGTTCACGCTTTCGTCACCAACAAGGAGCAGCCTGGTTTATCGGCGCGTGGGGGTATGATAGATATCATCTCCGATTTCCTGCCCAAGAAATACGCAGCAGAGAGAGCGACAGCAGCCTCGGTGAGTGAATTCAGTAGAGGAGTTGCGATTCGCTTGGGCGGGCTCTTCCGTGCGTATTGCAGCGAAGCAACAAAGCGAGCGAACGACAGCGTGACGAACTGCGAGGGTAAATTTCCAACACTAAGATCCTAAGTAAGGAATATCTTGAAACCTTCAACGCCTCAGCAGGAGGCCGCGCAAGATCCTTAGAAATGTTCAGAACGCCAGTTGCAAGGTCCTGAGCTTAATAGCCACCAGGGCGGGGCTCTATAGATCAGCATAATTGGGGGGTCTTCTGGGACGGCTGTCCCGCTCTAGGTTCTTCGCGTGAATAAATAAGTAGGCAGAAGCTTTGGTATGGCGGGCCTAAAGTGTTGATCCTTATTTTGTTAAAAAATTCGAGGGGGCGACTTAGTATATTTTACTAGTTATTTAAGCTAGCTAGTAAAAGGCCCAGCAGCAGACCGGAGCGCCCTGGAGGAGGCAGGCCTGCGCCTGAGTCAGCCGCCACTTCTTCTGATGGCCAGGCTCGAGTCGACCGCGGGTGTGGCAAGGCGATATCTCGCTTGATATGGGCCGACTTTTCGGGAAGGAGGCCACTGGCTTGGTCTCGGAACGTCTGAGCCCTGGGCTCTGGTGGTGGTCCATGCCTATGGAACTTCTAGCAGCAGTAGTCTTGATTTGAACTCGAAAACTCGATGGCAAACCTTCAGAGTTGGTCCCTGGCTGTCGTCTCTTATCTCCTTGGAAGTCAAGCGCTCCCCTTTGAAGAGTGCGCTGCTGTTCTGGTCGTTGATGTAAATGCTTCCGATCCTTGTGCCCCGCGTAATCTTCTGCGTTGAACATGAAAGACCCCCGAAGAGTGTCACTCATATGCTGCGACCTTGCTCGCGAAGTCCCTGCTTATTTCTACCGATGTGTCTGCATATCTTTACCGCAGCCGTCACTGATGGCTCTTGTTCAGGGATAGGTCGACTATAGGCAAGCTGGAAGCACTTCGTAGGCCACTAGGTCAAAAAGGAAAACCCAGCACAGCTGCACTGTATCACGCTGAAAGAGCAGCACCAACCTACCCCAGAAGCGCCTCGGATAGATTCCTCAAAATGGCACCAAAAAGCCGCCCGCAGTACATGAACGACGCCGCGCACCGCGTGAGCGGCATGACGTTGGAGGGGGTCGAGTACGAGGCCTCCATCTTGAATGTCTGCCGCGGGAAGTTGCTCGCTGAGAAAGGTGGCCATACTTATTGGGAGGCGCTGAACCAGATGAACTACCAGGGAACTTCGAGCAGGTCCTTATATCTTACCGATGTAGTAGCTCTGGGCTTTACCTCGTTGCGGTTGGTATAGTAGTCGATGAAAGAAGCCAAAGGAAACAACGAACAGACCAGCCCGCCACTATTTCCCAGGAGTATAAAAGTGCTGCCCTTGCCGTCACAAACGTTCCCACTTTCTCACCCCCTCCCACGATTTTCCATCTCCAGCTACGCCCCGCAGCTGTCGGCGATCTCAACATGGAGCAGACTTGCGAGCTGGTGGCCGCGGTCGCCTGCGCTCGTCAGTCGCATGCTGCCAAAGTGATCACCTGCAAAGCTCAGCCCATTGCGTGGCTGGGGTCGTTGGGTATGGAAAAGGCTCACAAGGTATGAGAGTGCTAAGGGAGGCGCGTTGGTTGGTGTAGTTGTCGCCCACTCCAAGACCAGTAGGAAGCACGATTTTCATCATCTAGAGGCGCCGCGCATACTGGAAAAGCGCTAGGAAAGTTTTTGCATCGTCGCGCCTGGGATAGGGCTACTTCTGTCCTCTTTTCAACCTGCCACCTCCTACCTAAGATGCCTCTCAGCCCTCCATAGATCACAGCTACCTTCCGCGAAGAACCAACGCGCCACGGCTCAGATGTTCACCAACGAGTTTCCGCAATCTGTGACGAAGCAGTCAGAAGCTTCAGGCCATCCCGACGGAGGGGGACACGAAGCCACAAGCTGCGCGGAAGGCGTCTATGGATGCGCTGCAGCATCGGCAGAACCTTGGTGGAGGTAGCAGCCCGGTGCTGGCTCTGGCTGGTGGAGCTGCTGGGATGCCGAATCCGTTGGCTTGTTCAATGGCGCCGCTGGTGGTCTCTTCGGAGCCGCTCCAGCTGTTCCTTCAGCCCCCCGCTGGAAAGGAGGCTGACTGCTGGCGCGGCGAGCGATGTATTCGCAATAGACTGGCGCCGCCTTAAATTAAGACGCTATGACAGTCACTCAAGAAAGTGCGCGGCTAGAGGAATTGCACAACGGAGCAAATCAAAGAAGTGCTATCCCTCCTCTTCGTCTTGAGTCCGTCCATAACTCTTGATGCCGGCCAAGCCCTTGAGAAACTGGCAAGAAACTACGGCGAAAAAGTTTTGAGTTTGATTTTTTTTTTTTGCTCCCCGATGCAAGACCCTTGCAATTTTTTTGCTGGTGCGTATCTGGTGCGTCGGCCGTTGCGTTTTTTGTTTCTGGTGCGGTGGCAGCAGGGTGGGTGGATTCGATGGGGATTCCGCTTGGTTTATGGTAGGGTCCAAGGCGCTGGGCGTTTGGGTTTGGCAAATGGTAGGATGATGATCGGTCGACAAGTTTTTAGGCTATAAAGTTACGTAATCTTGTGGGCTATTAAATTTAGGATTCTGCTGTGGCGAAAAAAGTCTATGACTTATGCTGATTTTCCTGGTCTACAGATGGAAGGGCCATCTCGGCGCTTATTGTAGGCTTGTGCTCTCACAGTCGGCTACTAAAAGATCAGGGATGGGAGACGAAAAATTTACTCGATCGGCCTGCTCGTTATTAGAGACTTCGTCAAGCATTCGAGGCTCTTCGTGGTCGTCAACTCGTACTTCGTTTCGCTCGCGATTTGGTGGGAGTGTCGCGTCTTCCTCGTCGGCTCAACGTTTCGCAATTCGATGCTTCTTATGGGTCGCAGCTCGTTTTAAGATGTTCGGATGCTAATTGTTTAATCTTCTTATACTAATTCACACAGCTGGCCAAGGTTTGTTATATTTCATATTTTTGAGATAAGTCAGTAGAAAAAATAGGGACTCACTGGGGGCAGG